CAAGTTAGCTGACCAATTGGAGCCTATCATTTACGTTGTTCTAAAGAAAGCTGGAGATATGCCTGTGTAGACAATCAGTCCTGAGGGTCAGGAAGGGCCTTTGCGCACACTCCCCCATGACCTACTGCTCCCTTGTGGGTTTTTACTCGAGGAGAAGGAAATGGTAGAATCAAAACAAGCCTCAAAAGCTAAAACAAAGCGAACTCCCATTCTTTCTGAAGACAATCCTCCTGACTCAGATACTGAGGATGTCTATAGTCTATGGTTCTATCCAACAGCTATCGAAACAACCAGAAGGATTGTTTAACCAAGCAGTATGACAGAAAAAAATGAATGAGGCATATGGAAAAGCAAATAGGGAATGTGGAAACTTACCCGAGGATCAAATCCTTAGCCACCCTATGGAAAAAGGAAAGGAAATTGGAAATCAGATGAGACACAAAATAACAACCTGAATGGAAAACTACCCGAATTAACACCAACCGAACTAGAAACAGAAAACACCACAGAATGTGAGGATACCGAAATCGAGACTGAAAAGACATACCATTCTTTTTGCACTGAAACTTCAGAGAAAGTTGAGCAGTCCAAAGATATTGAACAGACTAAATAAAACGATGCTGGACTTCCAGATTCCAGTGATGATCAGACTGCTGGTATAGTCCGCAGATCTGAAAGACGGAGAAAACCCCTTCTAAGTTTACTTACCCCCAGCTTGGTAGACCCTTGATTTCTTTTGCACAAACCATTCTAGACCTGTTTAACAAAGTTTTGATTGAAACCTTTGAAGGTGCTCATGACCCTTGAGACAACATGAAGGGAATCATGTTGATCTAGAGGGGGAAGGTGTAACCCCCCTGAATAAAAGGTTCAAATGAAATTTTATTTAGATTAAAAAACGGCTTAATTTACGTTTTATATACATACTGTGTTTTATTTTGAAAACCTTGTATTGGTCAAAAAACAAAATTGAGAAGAAAAGTGTAGGGAGATAAGAAGCACGTTGTTTGTGATTTTCCTTTCTGATGTTATAAGAAAGGAGGTTTTTTGAATACGTGGAAATTGATGCATTCAGCCTTGGTGTCCCACGAGGTTGATGAGGAATGATCCATGATGGTAAGCCTTCCCAGTTGGATCGTGAGCTCTACCACATCATTCAACAAATTCTGTGGTAGGATTGTGTCAGTCTACTTACAGAGATCAAGAGGACCTTCTTCGAATATAATCTCTGATTTGACTAATCCCCCTGACTGACTGACTAATGGACTTGAACTTTTATTGAAGCTCTGAAGCAACAAATACTGGAAGAACATTCTCAAGAAGGACATTATTTTTTCTTAGTTTTATTTTGGGCCCAAAGATTGTTGTTTTGTATTGTACACTTTACAATATGTGTTACTAAAGGTACAGTTAGCTATAAATACCTGTGTCCCTCACTTATTGCTATCTGCTAAGCTCCTATGAACCTAGAGCGTTAGATGTGTACATACCCGAAATTGGGTTACATATACTTTATCTACAATCTTACAAATCACATTGTAATGTTTATTTAAACACCAATAGAATCTATGAAGACATTATCTTTCACCTAAACTGCTAAGTTTTCCAGGTAGACGTCTAATAAGAGAAGCAAGGGGTTCTGTAAAGGTCTGGAGGGGCTGCAGTGATCCTAAACCCTTTTGCTCTTCAGATTTGAGTTGTTCTCTCCAAGAATTTGGCCTCTGTTTAATAGAGAGGGGATGACAGCATTTGTTGAAAGAATTTGTGAGAAGTCTTGTTTTCAATTTGTAAAATCCGTCACTAGGAAGTCTAGGAATTTCCTTTCGCGACTATCACTGCACGTCTTTCGCAGGCATCACTGTAATTGTCAAAATCCTGCCTGTCACATCGCTTTGTATCCCACCGCTGTTGATGGTGCCTCTACAAAGGGAAAACATGCAAAATGATCGCTCAGGTTACCAGAAAAGCATTTGGTTCAGGCTCTGCAGTAGCCTTGCACCTTTCTTTGATTGAATACATTTTGGATCAACTTTGAGATGCAGTATATTTTGATTCCTGAACTGCTTTGGTCATCATATCACCAAAGATGAAACTACAGGCCTATGACTGAACAGAGTCCAAGCTTAAGGTGATGCCACACCCTGATGACATGGCACAAATAATGCCTTGCTGCCTGCTAGTTTACATTCGGGCTGATACTGTAAACATTGGATGGCGGTCTTGTCTCATAACCTTTTATTACATGCCTTTGGTTTCATTTTCAGTGGCTCATCTTGGTAAAATGTGAACAGCCATGGTACAATGAACGCAAGCAACACAGTAATCCAGCTTTACTTTAAAGACAAGCTCAAAGTTTACCTGAATGTTTTTGGTCTGACATCTCCTGTCTGTAGGCTGTTTTAGAAATATGAAGTCTTTTAAACATGTGCACCAAAGTGACTCTTACTGGGAGCCAAATGTATGTTTATTGACATCTGTGCGTATTTTTGAGTGCAGTGCACCTGGGACAACAATGGATTTGAGCAGCTGTGCGTTTATCAAGCCGTGCAGCAGCAGGACATCAGCGTCTGTTATTAAACAGTCAGGAATTATACCAGACCGCCATACGCTGCTTCAGTTTTGATCACCGGTTCAAGCAGAAGATCAGTCGATGTGTAATTGTAAATGTCACACATGGTGTATTAAGACAGAACCCAAAACAGCGTTTGACAAACCTGCGGAGCAGCGAATCAGCTTACACGTAACATGATCAGGTTTCAAAGACAACGTGTAAAAGAGCCACGCAGCAAAAAATGCCTCAGGGGCCAATATATTTACTGAAGCTTTCGGTTTTTGTAGGTGAAGCTACGTGAAACACACCCAAATGGTTACAATTAAAGGTCCAGTTGTGTCAAAAGTGATGAAAAGCAACAACAGAATAATTTTCTGGTAACTCATGCGGTAGTATAAAGTCGGCATGTGGATTGAATTAGTTGTAAAAGAACACCTGTTTGACCTCGGAGCACTGTGGGCCTCTGGTCTTAACTCTTTGTATGCAAGTTTTTCTTTTATTCCTCTTTGAACTGAATGCGTATTCTGGGACGTGCTTCTCTCTGGCAGGAGATGTCAACTCAGCAATTCGCTCCAGTCCAATGAAATGCTGCAGGGTCTGGAAGGAAGCAGCTGCTGAGAGACGAACACCGGTCAGAGGGACGAGCCAACTTCAGTTTACCTTCCCTCAGGGAGTACACGGTGAACAACGTAGAGATTTACGACCCTCTTGTTGTTTATGTTCTCTCTTTTTTTCTTAGAGCAAACAGAAATTGCTGTGCATCCATTTTCAGAACTGTAATGATTGGAGCTTCTATCAAAAACCTGTGTTTTCCTTTTTTAAGGGCTTGCTAATGACTGTCTTCTTGGAAAAACAGCCCCTTATCTCACCAATTACATTCAGCTCATTAAGATGATGTAGCACACACTGTGCTTTTAAATCGATAACAAATCTGAACTTGGCAATGCATCAGTAGAGTTAGAAGAATGTTTCATCCTTCTTCATTTATCTTGCCCACAAGGAAAATTTTTGACACAGGCATCCAGTGGGAGGAAAATTGCCCTAATTTTCTGGTAATATGAACCATAACAAAAATCTTGCATCAATGCTACCTTCCCAGTTACATACATGACCTCCTTGCCATTCACTTGCAGAAATACAACACATTTTAACACTGGTTGAGCTGTGGCTGTGTGTCAGTGGGTTCAATGTTTTCATGTGTACAGTGCGAGTGTTTAATTTTCCATGTAGTCACTGCCCTTAAGTCTGGGAATTACAAACGGGTCTGGACCTGCTCGCTTCTTTCCCAATTCAGCTTCATGAGCTGACAGTAATCCCCTGCCTATGGAGGCACAGGGCTGGCAGGGTGGGGATGGAATAGATTCATGGATGGTAAAAAATGTTGGGATGGCATGAATCCCTTCAGGGAGGGTCAGTGCCAGGAACTGAGCTGCATGCGCAGCGACTTTTATGCTGTTTTTCTTAAGTCAATCTAGTCCAACGTGACTTACTCTTCCTAAGTAAATCTAATATTTCCAAAATAATACTTCAGTTTTCCCAGAAAAAAGTCAAAGAGTCGCAGGCGTGCACATAAGTTTTCCGATGGAAGATGTTGTCACACATTAGATTGAGTATCAGCAGCCTGGTTTTATATTAGTTTGAAGAAAACTGACACTGTGAATCACTGTAAATTGAGCTTTTTTTTTTTTTTTTTTTTTTAGAAAATACTACCTGTTAATACATTCCTTATTTTCTTTACATGTATATTAGAGTTTTGCTGATTTTTTTAATATTAAGAATCATTCCAAAAAATTAGCCGGATCCAAAATTTCAGTTTATTACTCAAACCTGCACATCTACCTCTGACTGCACATACCTGCATTTAAAATACATACATTTTTATTACAACAGTGTAATCAAATACAGAAATGTGAAAAACCCAACTAATCAGAATTTATTTATAAATAATTACCACATAAAGAAATAATAGTTTTTAATAGAAAACATTTGATAATTTATGATATCTTTTCTACATATGTGTTTAACCAGGTATTTCGATTTTAACCTGAAATATGTTACATTAAATCAAAATTTCTGTTTCGGATAGGAAAGGATTTGGGTTAAAGGTATTGTGGTTTTATATTTAGAAATATATGGAAATTCAGTGCCTTTTTTTAATGGATTAATAAATACAATTTAAAATGGTTCTTTTATCATTTAATTTTAAAAGTGCATTTAAAAGTACTTTTCAAATAGGATTTCAAATTCTATGATATGGTTGTATTTCTTTTTCAGTGACGCTTGCTAGTCCTCCATATAAAGGAGTGTCAGTTTTTATGAAAACAAGAAAAGAGACTTTTACTGTTTTTATGTATGGTAATATAAAAAAAGACATAATGAAAATTGTGTTTATCCTGATCAACAATCAATCAAATTATCTTTATCAGTACTGCAGGAATATAAACTCGTCTTATAATTGCTGAGCAGCGTTTTGGCTTGTTTGGGTATAACATTTTTTTTTTTTTTCATCTAGAACCACCGGGATTTGGATTAATTTCCAGGGTCACTGCCTCTCTACTTTAACTTGATCATTTCTTGGAACACTTTATTTAGTAACCTATGACTTTCTGCATTTCTGACCTCTTTACTGGGCACTAGACTGAACGAGAACAAGAACAACATGCCGTTTATCACATTGAAAGGGGGAGGAAACAAATGTCCAAAGCTTCAGGAGAAGAAATACCAAAAAGAGCATGCTCTGTCCTACCATTACAAATGTAAACACAAAGAAAACCTGGAGACTTTGTAAATAGTGTCAAACAAGGCTTTAACAGCAATAATCACAAACAGTTGAAGATCTGAGTACTAGAATTATAGCTAACTTAAAGCATTTTTATACAAGTGTAATAAGCGTGTGAATAAATCTTTAAGTGTTCACAAAGTACTTTGTTGGAAAACGACGAGGGTTTTATTTGCACACAAAATCCTTTACCCTGATGTCATAATTTAAAAACTTTATTTTTTTTCTTATTTTCATTTGCAAGCATATTTTCATATGTTAAAAGACAATATCATCATATTTTCATTGTTAGAACAATGAAAGCATTTTTTTTTTTGCTAAAACCAAAGGTGAAATAAACTCTTTAAAAACTCTACAAACATATTTCAGATAAAAATTAAAACTTCCTTTTTAAAGCTACGAAAAAAGGCAATAATTTATCTTAATGGACCAAAAAAAAAAGCAGGCACTGCTTCTCTAACCTGAGCCTCTGCATCTAAAGCTGTAAAGGGTTCAGCCACATGGTGTCATTACATCCACTGATTTACACCCCTCACCTTAACAGACCAGGAAGCTGATAAGACTTTCAGCTATTACCATAAACAATGTGACGAGACAGAAAGTTGGTGGGAAGAGTGTGTATTCAAAAACAAAAAATGACATGACAGGTCGACAGCCTCTGTGAAATGTTGTCAGACGGGTCCAGGCTTTCAGGCTGGGGGGAGTTTTCTCAGGATGGACTATCCCTTTGGTTTTTTCTTCTGTCTTTTATGATGTAGGCCGGAAGCCCTGGCAGCAGTATTATATTCCAGGAAATTCCCAAACAACCACTGTTTTCCACCTGGGATTTGGCACTTTTTTTGCCGTTACCTCTTTTGGGAGCTGCTGTGACAAATGGAAATATCCCATCTGTGAAAACAGAATTTCTTCCATCAAGGTTATTTTGGTCCTTGTGTGCTTTTGTTCAAACTTTGACTAAGAAGTCATTTTTATCCTTTCTCTATCTCCAGCTGAGACAGTTTTATAATACATCTGTTCTTTTAACAAATAAATTAAAATTTTGCCAGGGCAGATCTTTTTGTTTATTCCTCAATAGAAATAATAATACATAAAAATATTGATCATTTTAATATAAAGAGGTCCAGTTTTTTGAGAATCCGCTGCGGTTGAAGAAAATCTTGGAGAAAAAAAGCTGGAGATCCACTTCAAAGAATCAGATTATCCTTTTTGTGGTATAAAACAAACAAACAAAAAAAACTACTTCCTCCATTGTTGCTGGTTTCCACAAGACCCAGAGTTGTGTGCCACGATGTATTTTTAGCTACACTTGCAGGACTTAACGATCATGTTAGACAGCTGGTCCACCTGTAAGTAGAAATCAACCGTAAATCATATGCGTGCATGCTGCTATCACATCGCAATGTTCCGTAAACATTTCATCTAAAAATATCTGAGATATTGATACCCTGTGTTGCCTTCCCACGTAGTAGAGAATTGGCAGCGGCTCCAGTGTCTGGGGAACGCAGCACGGCTGGGCGGATGCTCCCGGATTGTGATGTTTATACAGAGCCAAAATCTGCAAAGCGGAACATGAGGGGAAACAAACAGAAAACAAAAGAGCTCAGTTGATGATTTCATGACCAATAAGGCATCGGTCAAAGCTACTTGGGCACTCTTTCAGGGACCCTTGGGCAGTTAAGCATCTTAGAAGATAAATCAACAAATTGCCGAGCAGCTTTACCTTTTATAAATTTACTTTGAAATTAGAAGAAATTCACCTCAAGAGATTTAAAGAGAAAAAAAATATGCTGTTAAGTCCTCACTGACTGAATCAAATGTCAGATCTTTTATTTCTTGGCAGTTAGTTCATAAAATGCATTCAAATATGAATTAAATGAGCTTAAATGTGGTCCTTTGTAGGAGCAAAGTCAATATAATAAACCAGAAAACACCAGATGAGCCATTGCCATCTGCTAATGTTATTTGCTTTTGGCCTAGTAGTAAACTATACACTGCGGATTAGCTAATACAGTTGCATTCAGATTGTTCATTATCACCAGACTGAAAAACAAAATAACAAAAATCGAGTGCTCTCCCAAACATGTCTATATCTAACAATCTGTTAAAAGGTACAAGTTGTTCAGAAATATTAAAAGTATTTGAAACAGAATTCACCCCCCAAGGTTTCTTTTGAAGAGAAACCCACGTATTTAAATCATACCTGAGAATATTTATTTTCAGTGCCCCGAATGTATGAGCATGACCCCAAGCAGTAGTTAGCCATGTAGCCTGTGGGCTTGTGTATCCACTTCCAGCCCAGATCCTTCCTGAAGTCGATGTACAAGCTCCGTACGCAGCAGTGCTCCGTTTGGCTAAAATTGGATGAATAAAAGGGAGAAGGTTAATCAGTTTTAAATTAAATGTATGAGAAAGTATTAAGATGGCAAAGAGGTTTTTCAGTCTGGGTAAAATAGCAGAAGTTAATTCTCTAAGGAGAATAAAGGGCAACACATAAAGCATAAACATTTTCAGCTTTATTTATTGAAGATCAGTGACCCCAGCATCCATAGTATTCGACTGAACTTCCATTGAATCAAAATGAAATTCCTTGATCTTCAATAGACCCTGTTTACTTCTCTGCATAAGTAATATCCTGTATTAACTGACTTAGAGTTAAACTGAAACAAACCCGAAATGTAATAAATGTGGCAACTTCCTGTTCTATTCACTGATGATTTACTGCCTTGCAATAAAGGGCTTAGTGGTGCATTCAAATGCTTAGAAACGCATCTATTTATAGCTCATATGTTAATATTAAACCTGCTTGTATTGATTTGCATGTAGCAGCAGCACAACATTGCACATCATTTTCCTCATGTCTGAAACATTCAAAACCAACTCCCTGAATTATTACATGAGAATAAGAATTGAATTAGAGAAGAGAAGAAGAAGAAGGGTTCTTTCTATTTATCTATCCATCTATAAAAACACGTTTTAGTTTTTTTTTGCTCCAATTGCCCCTCCTTGCTAAGTCTGTCTTAATTAAATATGATTATCCACTTGTTTTGGAAAGTTCAGTTCTGTATCACCAACCACACCCAGCTCTCATTACTGCGAGACAAGTACAATCAAGAAATGACTTTAAAAACAACACACCAGGCTAAAAAAAAAAAAAAAAAAACCTAGCAAAGAGAGACAATATTCTTTGATCTAAAGAAACTCAAGAACAGCTAAAAAGCGTTATCTCTGACACATATCACTCTGTAAAGGGCCACAGCTTATTTCTTTGAGGCTCTGGGTCTCCAGCAAACCACAGTCAGAGCCTTTTACCATTTTATGGTGTAGTAAATCTAAATGTTCATGGTTTGGAAAGAAATAAATCATGCTATACAGCATCCATGACACTATGAGAGAGTTTTAAGAACAAAGTGGCAATGTGTAACAATATCTATTGGAAGGTGTGCCTCTTCTTATATCTTGTTTAAAAATAACCTAGTTTCGAAAAAAATAAATAAGTCAAACAACAGAAAATCCTGAAGGCAAACGTCTGATAATCCATTTGTAACCATAAAGGTATAGTGGAGGATTTTCGCAATTTTTTGAAAAGACCCGCCCTCTCCACTTTAAGAAAGAAAGGCATGCCTATTAAACGTGTGTGAGAGCGTGCACGAGCCCATTTCTCCTAGTGCACATTCTGTTTAAAAGTTGCTGTTTGCATCCCTTATACAAGCTTACTTTCCAAAATAAGATTTGCAATTTTTCCACTATGTACGCCTTTCCACTGGTGTTATGTCGAGAAATACCCTCCCTTTTGCACATTAATGAGAAAACGTATTGAAATATAAACAAAAAGGGGAATTTTAAACGTATTCTGAATGTTTTCATATTTCTTATGCATGGATGCTCTAAAATTGAGAGTTTGACAGATAAATGCCAAGAAATACCTGCTTGTCGAGAATTTGCTCCCCTGTCAAGGGAGCGTGCATTGCCCTAAACTCTAGCACATTGATGAGAAAACGGATTGAAATATGACCGAAAAGGGAACCTTTAAACATATGTTTAATGTTTTGTCAGAAATTATAAAGAATGGTGTTGTTCATCCACTGAGCAGAGAGTATATAAATAGAGCACTGACTATAGCACATTAGCTAAAAATTGTCTCGATACAAGTAAAAACCACATTCATTCGAACTCTAAATTTTAGGGCATCTATGCATAAGAAATATAAAAACATTAAGAATATGTTTAAAAGTTCATTTTTTTTTTTTATTTCTCATCATTGTGCGAGAGGGGAGGTAATTCTCAGCAGGCAGGTATTTCTCAGCATAAAACTGGTAAGTTAAAATAGGGGTAGAGCTTTACATAAATATATCACCAGAATGCTTGACAGTTAGGAGGATCATTTATTTTGATGATCCACAAAAAAAAGAATATCCTTCAGTATAACTTTAAGTTTAAAGCCACTGATGTTATGGAGCAGGATCATGATCTGAAGCATTCGAGCAAAAGGGAGCAGGTCAGAATACCTCTGTTGTACTTAAAAAGACTTATTATATACTTTATTTTGTACTAAAAAATAAAACTATTGTTTGAAAACATTTTTTTATCACGGGTATCCGTAATGTGTTTCGTAAAATGGACAATTAAGTGCAACTAAAAAGGAAAGGAGAGGTACTTGACGGTTGGGAGAGAGAATAGGGAAATCCCAATGACCCTTTCCTCACAATGCTCAGTGTTTACTAGACCTACCTCGCTGCCCCAGTGAGGTTCTTCAACCTAATGAGATTTTTGGAGATCTGCAGGCTCAGGATGTTAATGTGTCCACTCTCCCTACCACAGGGTTATTAATGCTGAGCAGTCTGGGCTAAAGTTCTGACCTCACCTGATCTTCTTTTAGTCTATTTTAAACATGCGGAGACATTTAGCTGTTCTCCTTATTCCTTCCTCATCATTTCCAGAAATGATCTTACTCCCTACTCTACATGATCTTTTGGTCATAAAATAAACCCTGAAAGTCCTAAGCACTAAGCCAATGGTTAAAATACCATCTTTTCTTCAAGGTTTGGAAGTGATTCGCAGGAGTTTAATATCACCAAAGGAAGTCAAACGGGTTTTGAGGTAAGTAAGCCATTCTTGAAATCATTGGTATTACTTACGCTGAGCAGGTTTCTGGTTCGCTGGTGGAGCGTTTTTTGCGTGATTTATGCGGGGTGGACATATTCTTAGGGATGGACATGGTCAGGATGTAGGGCGGTTGCTCTGTCAGCAATTCCACCGTTGCTGTGTCTCCTCGTGTCTTATCGATCCCCGAGATGGTGAAGCCGAACGTACTGGGTAGCTGCTGCTCACATTCACAGAAAACGCGTAGCTCAAACTTCTGCTCATTCTCTGGAAATCAAAAATGTTGGAAGTTTTAGCTTAATTGTAGGACAGAGAATTAGGGCCAGGATAGAGATTTTTTTTTTTGCATTTCGAGGATAAAGTCGTAACATTACGAGAATAGAGACGTAAAATTAAAAGAATAAAGTTTTAAAATTATGAGAATAAAGTCGTAACAGTGCAAGAAAAAGTTGTAACATTACATGAATAAAGTAATAAAATTATGAGAATAAAGTCCTAACACAAGGAGAATAAAGTTGTAATTTACAAGAAAAAAGTCACAACGAAATAGACAAAAATTATGAGAATAAAGTGGTAATATTAAGAGAGTATGGTCCTAAAATTACGAGAAACAAGTTGTATTTTATGACTCTTACAAGAAGAAGTCTTCCCTAAAATGAGGAATGTCGAGCATTATATTATACTTATGCTGTGGTTGACAAATAAGGAAATCTTTTAGCACTAGCATCGAATTGGGCAGTTTGTTAAAGTGGAGTCAGGTTGCTGTTTGGTGGTGCTGGTCAGCTGTCATATGATGGTTGAGCTCGAAACTTTCTGAAACGGGTCATTGTATGATGACCCGATTTTCCTAATATTACGACTTTATTCTTGTAATGTTATGACTTTATTCTCGTAATATACCGACTTTATTCTCGTAATGTTAAGACTTTAATCTCAAAATAAAAAAAAATGTAAAAATCTCTAACCTGGCCCTAATGCTTCGTCGTAGAATTGAAAGACGTAAACGAAGACATTGACTGAACCAAACCAAACATTTAGAAAGGATTGTCTCACCTTTGTTTTTTAGCCACCCCTGCAGGGGTTCAGTGACATCAAAGGAAAGCCACTTGTCTTTCAGTGAATTGGTCACGAAGCGAGAGGCGTGGTAGCGAAATGAGGTCCCTGAACTGTAGTACAGCTCCACGCGCTTTTCCTTATCTATTGAGGTGGTCTTGATGAGCATCCGTAGCTCCGCTCTTGTCAGCAGCTGGGAATCACCCACGCTGTTTTGTATTTCAGCAACGTTGAAGGCTATTGTTTTGGTCCTCTCTGTGATGTTGTTGTCTGTGTGATTAGAGAAAAAAAAAAACATGCAATTAATTGTTTGTCTTGATATAAAACAATGCAGACAAGAGAAGAAGTCGATTTTAAAACCTAGAAATCTTGGAGGGATGTATGAATTGTGGTGTAGGTAGGTTGGCGCCCTAACTGATGCAAAAAGCAGAATTGCAAACACTGATCACAAATATTCAGTATAATTTCCATTTTGGTTAACTTTGAAATAAGATACCAATACTTGTTACACCTGCAACATTAGTTCCTTTTTCCTAAATCTCCCTATTAAAACAACAACAAAATAAGCATTTTAGTACTCATGCTTATATTGGCTTGGGTAATCTTTCCGATCTGATGTGCCAGAAAGCTCATTACACAGAGCCATCTGTGAAGCATTGCTGTTTGGAAAATGGCCGGCAGCTGGATGAAGCTTCTGCCGATCCCCATTCATCAAACACCAGATGGATTCCTCAGATTCAGAGAAGCAATTATTCTTTACGCATTACCTTATTTAACTAAACTATTTGTTGTATCAAAAAATTTAGTGCTGTTGGTTTATATATATATATATATATATATATATATATATATATATATATATATATATATATATATATATATATATATATATATATATATATAAAACCATCAGCACAAAATTTTTTTATATATATATATATACTAATATGACACAGGTGGGGACCAGGCTATGGAACTATTTAAATAAAGATATGTAAAAAGTTCTAACACTTAAATAATAGGTCAATCTCACAATAAAAAAGGCTAACTTTACTTTGTGTATTTTTTCTACTCTATTTATTTAGCGAAGGGTTCAAATCAACATTAATAAATAAAATGTTGCATCCATTTTCTATCACTTAGAGATTCAAGCAATGTCATTTTAATCTATACTTAACTTTTTTCAGTTTTTTATAATTTATCAGCAATTAATTAGTTTCTGTTTCCAAGAGAGATTAACATGACATTAAAAACAAATACTTAGCAAATAATTAACTTGAGGGAGAAAGAATATCAGAATAATATGGTAGAAATAGAATCACTTATGTCAGGAAAAGGCTAAAATAAAGGATCCTCTCACCTAAACTTCTTCTATCTACCATTGGTGCTTTAATTTCATACGTTATCTCACCCAGAAAAGTTTTGAAGAATCAAAACTAATTTTGCAATGTTTAAAAAAAATATCACTATGAAAATGTAATGGGAGTATATTTAATCAGCTTTTCTAGGTCGAGTTGAAATTAAATGTATTCAGTAACCGTTAATTCAATATTACGCTTGGGCAAAATAGGACACGGCACACAGGCGCCATTTCTCTTAGCCATGAAGCAAAATGAAAAGTAGAAGATAATACAACGCCATTTAGGTGATGCAGATATGGAGTGATTATAAAAACAAAAAACAAAAAAAAAACTACATGTGATAAGAAAAGAGCCAACTATCAAGAGTGGCACTATTCTGTAATAAATGGATACATTTAAAACTGCTTGTACTGTGAGAGGCAGGACTGAACGAGGACATGTATTTTTCCTGCTACTTCAAATAGTAAAGGAATAAAGGATGGTAAAAAATGTTAAAATAAAGGCTTCTTATTTACGACACAGCTAATCAGAAACGTGTTTTAATGATTTTATGAAATCTTTCCTTACTGCATGTGCAGTAACTTAGGTCTCTACTTTATAAAACATCTGTATCTAGTTATGCAAAAAACACCACAAAATAATAACAGTAATAATCCAAATGAATTTGTTATATAAAACACAATTTTCACATTAGTTTGAAGGCTATTTCCAGGTTATACCTTACTATTCTGATAAGTTATTCTCATTAGACTAACTATATCACTATTGACATAAAAACATGCTCAGAGTTCCTCTGCTTAAATGATTCTCTCATAGACGGAGCCACAGATGGAACCAGTTTATTGTCACCTTTTCTAACATGGAGCATTTATGGATCCGTGCTTCTATGTTCCTTTTAAAAACCTGCTTTTATCTCCCTTAACCCCAAGTCGGCCTCAGCAGAAGGCCGCCCAAACTGAGCCTTTTACTGCTGGAGGTTTCTTCCTGTTAAAAGAGAGTTTTTCCTCTCCACTGTCGCTGCATGCATGCTCAGTGTGAAGTTTTGCCTTAAAGTCAATGACACACTGCAAGCAAATTGGTCACCAAACGCTCATCAACAAGGAGCGAATCCTGCAAAGTAAATGAGTCAATGCAGTCAGCTAGTTTTTCTTTGACCTAATCTGCTTGTATGAATCGATCAAATTGTCTCAGTAAAGTGCCATGAGCTGGCACGTGTTGTTGCTATATAAATAAACTGAATTGCATCGGCAGCCAGTTCATCTAGTTTTAAGTCAAATATTATTTTGCACAGCATGTTCTTTATCAAATAAAATATTCTTCCTGTAGTGCTGGTAACAAATTATCTGGAGAATCTAGTTTCTTTTGAGCAATGAAGTACAGTAAGCAATTGATTAACAGTATCTGCACGCTTAGTTGAATTTGTTTAAGCGAAGAACACACCTTTGTTCCAATATTTGAATTCTGAAAGTCAGCTTATCCTAATGATTTAGCTTGTTTTCTACTTCATGTATCCCCCTCATATTTCAGCCATCAATAGCCTTCTGCAGATTTCAGCATTACCCAACGAGCTTAACTAAAGCCAAACATTTATCTGTCCCAGCTGCCACAGCTGAGAGTTTTGTTTTCTCAAAGTGTTGCAGCAACTGTAATCTCTGAGTCTTCCTATAACATGACAAATGGGGAACAATCTCCCTGCAGAGTTTGATCAAACACAGTCAGGCTACTGAGCCAAGCTACTGACAGATTTACCAATACAAATCTTCCAGCTTCTCACTCTAGATAAAGTAGGATAGAGGAATGCACTGATAAGCACAGGAAAAAATGTAATCAAGATTTTACTATTGCTTAGAAAAGAGGAAATAATGTCGTAAAATTGTGCATGAAGAGGTTGAATGCATAGAAAGCTTGTTCATAGCTTGCAAAGGGTGTGAGAAGGAGTGTGAAGAAATAGGAGATGTACATATATCAATGCAATGTCTGGCGCTGGACCAAATCCTCTACGCTGCCTGAGCCTGCCAAAGCCAGGAGTTCTCTGCTCTAAGGTCGGGGAATTACTTTGACAGGAACCCAACCAAGCCCTGCATACTTGCTCTGCATGCTCGAACCAGGCTGTACCAGGATTCCCCCCGTCACGGCCGCTCATCTATCCCTTACCACCATCAGAGCTGAGTTGTTTCAGCCGTTGTAAAGGGGCCAAACTGAAACTGAAAAGCGTTGATGTGGAGTGCAACGGGAAATGAGATTTTGACATTCTGCAGGTCCCACCCAGAATCTAGTCAAATGTTCGCTTCAGAGAATGAGAAGGGAAACACAGAGCATCAAAACGAGTAAAGCTAAACCATCCAGTTTAAGGTTGAAAGTGTGCTAAAAGTTAAACCAAGTGCTTTCGATACAGGAAATTAAGTCACTTCCCTTAGCAGCATATTGGCAGCAGGACAATGTTTCAAGCAGAACTTTATCCTCGCTTCTATGCTCTCACAGTCGCAGCGTCTCCTAACGCCTATTAATAACCTGTGGGCAAAATAAAAATCACAAACTCTACACATTATCTTTCAATTTTCTGCTTCATCCTGGACTGAAATAATGAATCCTCCCTCCTTCAGAAATAGCATCCTGCCACATATGGGTGTGGGGGGGGATTTGTGTGTTGAACTAGGGCCTATCTGCAGGTAAGCCAGGGACAGCTGTTGTGACAGGTTGGGAGACAGCTCTGTAATTACCAGTGGGAGGAATCAGATTCCAGCAGCTGGCTAAATGTCTGTCTTCTTTATACTCTGCTTGCCTCACAACTTTACTGATGTCTTGCTTCGCGGATTAACTGACGGCCCACCATTTCTAATGCTTCATCATATTTTATATAGTAAAATGACAATTTGGCCAGTAAACTATTTCTGGATGTACTGTACAGGGCTTTGTGGTTGCTTCCCAGAGAGGAAAACGCACGCTGTTTGCGAATGAGCTAAATTACATGCGTATTAACAATATGGGAGAGGTGAGTTTGGGTCTTCTAAGGAGGGATGTGGCTGAAGGAATTTAGCCTAATCCAAGATGAAATTACCACAATGTAGACTTAAAACTACTAAGTTTTAAAATGCTCTGCACACAAATATGCATCCCCGCGAGCTGTTTTGGATTTCAGGGAAGGTGTGAGTCACTCTTCAGAAAGGAATAATAAGACAACAGATTTGGTAATGAACACATGCGGTGCCCTTCCCTATTTGTTGCCACCTCTGCTAAAGACGTGTAAAAGACTGCATCTCTGTTGCAGAGGTGTAATCTCACTTAGCTAAATGAAAAGAAAAAACTTTTACACGCTTCTATTCATTTCAGGAAGCTTTTGCCTTTCTTCCAAAGAAGATACAAAATACGTTTTTATTTATTTATACTTTACTTTTTGTGTCTTACAACTTTTGTTTCAGAACTTCCGGTATCTGTGGTAAAAATGACATAAAACAGGCCTACTTCTCCTAGCCTTACTCAAATAAGGGAAAGACAGGAGATCACAGCATTTGAGCAAACCATATGTGTGTTGATCCCCATAAAAAAGCAGTAAATGTATATATGTATATATTTGAAATGTAGAAAACTGGAAAGAACCTTATTTATAAGAATAAAGAGAATGCCAACAAGGTAAAGGAGTATAAAGTATCACTGTTTAAAGAACGGCATGCTGTATGTAAAAATAAATTTCTTAGTACTGGACTTCCCACAGAGAAGCAGAAGTTAAAGTTTCCCTTACTGCCCTACATGCAGATTTTTCTATTTCATGAAACCATTTATCGTGGCATCGTTAACAACTGATTATAAGCAAACTTGGGTAAACATAGATGTGGTTTTCAATAGGTGTGAAAGGCTGCTTCTGTTTTTAGATATGAACTCGGCTAAGAAACAGGAGGGATGTTCTCTGGCATTCCTAGGAGCTAGGAAACACATGCTCCCCGCGGGCAACGGTTGCACCGGACCTGAGTCACTCAGCATCTCAGTGGCCATCAGCCTGCCTTCCTTCCTGCCAAGCTGCCTCGTCACAAACATGCTGCAAACACACTGATAATAAGCTCAGGAAGCCTAGCAGAGAGAGAGAGAGGAATTGGAGGCCAGGGGACAGAAAAAGATTAATCGTTGTTAAAGAGATATGGGAATTGAAGGGAAATCGCTCAGGGAGAGATACGATGGAGGGCAAGTAAAATGATAAGCATGGGAGAAGTCAATTTCTCAAGTTACCGTTTAGGAAATTCCCAATCCCTGAGGGACGCTAACAGTGAAATCCAAAAGAGAAAATAAGACAGAGTAAAGGATGTAGTCTTCTCTTCTGGCTGCTATCTTTTTCTTTGGCTGCCACCTGAGCATAACAATATTATTCCCTTTATTTTGAAAGTAGCTTTGTTCTGCTTTTTGCTCTCCACACTCCAGAACATGGTCCATCCACTTCAAGTCTTTCTTTTGATGTGGTGGATGAAGGCAAGGGGGGATGTGTATGCCTGCCTGATAAAGTGAGACGTACAGACATGCAGAGAACAATGGGGCATTGAAACCAAGCTAAAAAATCATGTTTATCATAATAGCTTGGGAGCCATTGCACAATTATATCCGAAGACCATGTGGCTGCGCAAACACCAGAGGAAGCCTTGCCAAGTAAGCTGTGTTAACGAAGCAGTAAAAAAAAAAAAAAAATGGGCTGGATATCAAGAGAACGGCAGAGCATCAAATCGTTTGCAGCCAACTTGTAACTTCTGTGATCTCTGATCTCATTAAAACTGCCCAAGGATGTTGAAAGCAGTTCAAAAGATGTGCACATGGTAAAAGAGTTTATAGAGCAGTTTGGAACATTTTTGATTAGTTAAAGCTGTATTTTATCATTCTGTGTATCAGCTTTAAGTGCTTCTTTAACCAGTTGTGTCCACTTTGAGTCCTAACTATTTTAGTAACTTACACCATGTGGAGCAGTGGATTTAAAACTTTATAACACCATTATTACTGCTTCAAAACACAATTATACTTAAATCTCAGGTGGGAGAGAATGTCAAAAAGGTTTTTTTAATGTCAACTTAAAAAGTATTTTCTCTGACCAGCTCAAAATTCAGTATGGAGTCCTTTCTTTTAATTTCGTACTTATTTAATTTTTTCTTCGTGAAAAATATCATGTTTTTTAATTGACTTCCAAGTGAATGCTTATATTTTGTAAGAACTATAAGATTATACAACCTTCTCAAGTTGCTACAATATTTGACTTTACAAAAGGCAGAGTAACACAGTTAGCTGGCACTAATAATTAGTTTGGTCACAGAGCATATCAATTAGCAAATAGCTGGACTATCATTCTAATATCCAACTTTAAAGATAAATCACTGAATATATGACAAAAGGTATTTCCTCAGTTTCTCTGTAAGTTCTTAAAACTGCTGCTTTACACTTTTCTAAATGTTTCAGACATAAACAGCAGAAGTGTGAACAAATCATCTTTTTTGGACAGCTGGCGCTTTTCAGCTCCACGTTATTTATTATTTTTTTTATTTTATTTTTTTAAGTGAAAAGTTTTGGTTCTCCAAATACTGCTCTGTGTTCAGAGTGTTGTGCAACATCCTGCAAGTGAACGTAGAAGCATAAATCACAGCCATACAATTATCTGGCATGCTTACAGCCATCCTTAGGCCATCAGCAATTGCCCTCATTTTTGAAAATTGGTAATGCTGCTCTAGGAGCCATGATTAATGCCTTGCTCCTTCGAGTTAACTTGTACTTACTGGTCATGTTGAACTTGTTCAGCACTTTGGCGAAGTATTCCTCCTCTTCCTGTTCTTGGGAGATGGAATCCATGACTTCCTTCTGTTGCTCTATAAGCAAGTCCTTGGTGCTGTTGTAGAGGGACAGCAAAGTGGCTGGGATATCCTCCTTCTCTCCAGCTTCTTCTGGCTCAGGAGCTTTAGGCAAACGCAGTTTGCAGAGGATCTGGGTCCTAATAGCGTCTATGCGCTTTTGCTTAACTATCTCTAAGTCTAAAGTCTTACATGTGGACATACTGCGCACGTTCTCTAGCATGTGCGCAGCCATCAGCAGCAACAATCCCAGCTTCATTGTAGCAGCGTCACAACTCAACCACTTCTCCACTTTGATTATTAGGAAATCCTGCCTCACCTTTTTGTTTCGCTGCCTGCCTCCAGTCGAGGATGCTTTGGGAGTAGTGAATCACTCTGAGGAGAGGTGTGACTGACGCAAGGTGTTTACACACAACAGAACAATTATAGCAGTGTGGAGAGTCCAGAGAGTGCCACAGCTGTCCCTACTGCTGTGAAAACCACCTAACACTCGTCTTGTTTGCATAGAAGCAGATAGAGAGAATCAGAGTGGGCAGGCAGACGGCGAGGGTTGAGCCAGCCTCTGACTAGGCCACAGAGGTAACCCAATGAAGGTCTACACTATGAAGTGAGTCCAGAGCAGAGCTGTCAAAAGCTAAATAAAGCTCATCCAAGCATAAGAAGCTCTCCAAACACTCGCATGACTTCTCCAACACCCAACAGGCAGAAATAATCTGACAGCTCTCAGATCGTCAGTCTTGCCTCTGTGCTCAAAGATCAAATTGTAATTTCAAGTCTTCCACCTGCAATATTTAACGTAATCCTGTCTTAGAGCAAGTTTATACCTCTCCACATGTCAGCTCTGTGCTGTATTGCTAACTAAGCAGTTTCTTATTACATGTCCCCAGAGGCAAAAGGAGCAAATGTGAAAAGAGCTGCAGCCCAATAAGAAAAAATTATGACGAGCACTGGCAGACACTGACTTACTCACTTTCTATGCCTGAAGGCTATTAACCTGTCACTGCCTTTAGTTTTATCTGAAACAGACTTTCCACACAGTCCAGTTCTTACTATTTTAGATGGATCGAATGTCAAATATGCTTCCTCAAAAATGATTTTTAAAATAGAAATGCACACTGAGCCTAAAGTAGAACTTTGAAACACTCCCAGACTTCTTCATACCCTAGAAGAAAAACATGTGACAAACAAGGATGGCGCTCAGCTCAGACTACCTCTTTTCACAAATATTAGCATGTGATCTGTACGCAGCTGCATCAAACCAGCTTTCAACGCCTCCAAGTCAATGACAGAGCAGCTGCCGCTCTATCTGCTGTGTTCCTCTCATGATAACGCAGGGCAATCATCTGCAAGTCCACTACGTCAGAAATAAAATGCAAACAGGCCTGCTATCAGATGTGTAGAATGACAGTCTTAAGGTAAGTATTTAGGTATCAGACACACCTTCTCTTCACAAGAGAGCACCATCCAGTCACAGCAGCAGTAAACCTCTGCAGCAGAGGAGGAAAAACCCTGTTAGGAACTTGATCGCAGTCTTTCCTCTATCCATCCACTGGTGTCACCTCGTTTATGCCCTCTACAGCTCCTTCACACCTTCTCCTTTAGAGTCTCCTCTGACACAGCTTCCTATACTCACACCTTGTCTTTGTCCCTGCTCTGTTTTCACCCTCTGCCTGTCAGAGCTTGCTGTTCAAAAAGTGATTTGTGGGAGCTCCCAGCTCAGATAACTTGTAAACCCTCTCTCTCTCTCACTCTCTCTCCCCTCTACTTTTTCTCTTGTTCCTGTTAGTCTAATAGAGCGAGAAGATCTCCGCCCAGGAAATGAAGCTAACGGCAGAGAAAACATCTGCCTTATGCTTATGCTGCCTTACTTATGTTTTAGCTTGACCAACTCTTTTTTTCTGTCAGAGCAGACAGTGACAAATGTCAACAAGTCCTGCACCAAACAACAGTCTCACCAAAGCAATGCCACATTTACCTGGTCCCTGCAAAGTTGGAAGTCTTGAAGACCATGGAGGAGAGCCTATTATATATATATTAAATTCACAAAATATAAATGAGACTTCTGTGAGGTACAGAGTCAACAGGGCAGGGCCGTGTGGTGCCCTCTCCCAGGTCTAAGTGCTCTTTAAATGTTGGATTGTGTATTTTCAGAAGGAAGGCAAGACTAAAACAAACTCAGAGATTTTTTAGCTATGGCAGCTCTGTCCGTAGAGATGATTAAACAGGAAAACAGTGATGCACACTGAAAGTCCCAAGGGGTGTGCCAATTTATTTTCATCTATATATTCATCTAAAGAATAAAGTTATTTGTTCAATGCTGACATTTACAAAATGAAACTCAAAGAGCAGAAATCCCCTAAAAACCACCAGGTGATAACATTGATTTAAATAATGAAACTAAGGTTTATATTTAGGTTTAAGGAACACTTAATATCTGATTATCTTTCCAGATAATAGTTTGAAACAAACAAGAGATTTTTGTCTCTGTAGAAGGTTAACAGCTACTATTTAAAAACTGTTTAAATGAGTGAACACTGCCATCTGGTGGAGGAAGATCATTTATGGGAATCACTAATATATAACAAAAAAGTCACTCAGACTTGACCTAAGGTCTAATTTTTCAAGAGAAATTAGCATTTATGGCTCGGAGAAAAAACAAAAATCGGACGCAAATAATAGTTAAACAAAATTAAAAAGCAAACAACACTGAGTAAAAGAAGAGGGACAACATGAGATCAATTCATAACAGCAGAATCATATAATTTATGTAACCCGATATACTTTCCCTTTCTCTCCTGGTTAACCTCCAGTCATGAATCAGATGAAGTTATAAAAAGAACAATTTTCCATAATCCTGTTTATAAATTAGTGTCTGAATGAGCAAAAGTTTACAGAAAGTAAAGCTGCCAACCGTTTATGGTAACTGTTATGGTAAATGAACACAACCATGAAAAGAAATGGAAATTCGTGATAACTTAACACACTACTTACAAAGATGCACTAAATGTTGCTGTAACAACTATACCTCAGTGGACGCGCGCTTCTAAAAACAGTAACTGAATCTGTACACGTCTCCAACAAGTCTGACCGATCTACCATGAGGATTTTGTACCTTGTGCGTTTTACCACGAGGCCTACATGCCAGAACCTTGAGGTGCCTGCCCTTGCCAAGGGGTGGGGGGTTCATATGCTCCTTTCCCATCATTCACAGTGAAATGCTGGAAAACTCTGAAGTCTCTGAAGAAGGATGACAGGAGAAAGTGTTCTGAGTCAACAAGGAGGTGCGATAGTCAATAAATAAGATAAAATCACAGCCACATTAGCGCATAGACTTTCACATAAAACCGTCAGATCTCTAAAGCTCTCTGATGCCCTTTCAGTGAGCAGAAATTCTGACTTTTTACAATGAAGACTGAAATCAAATCATGCTATATATAAATATATATATATATATAAATATATATATATATATATATATATATATATATATATATATATATATATATATATATATATATATATATATATATATATATATATATATATATATATATATATATATATATGAGACGAAATATACAAATAATATACAAATAAATGAAACCTAAATTAATTTCAGAGCACTGAAGATGATCAGCTGAAACTGTTATAACTCTGGAGGGACAGTCACATTTCCCTTGCAACAGAAATTTCATTAGAAATATAGACAAACACATGGTTGACATAATAAAGTTCAAAGTACATAATGTTGTATATACAAATGTAATGAGGTAAAACCTGTTGTAGAGGAAGAGCACCCTAGTAAAATGACACAATAGCTATAAAAAAATACATTTAAAAGTATTTAGGCATACTTGTGCAGACGTCTTAAAATTCACAATTGTATTAGACAATATCATATTCAGAGACAAACTTACCAACATTTTAACAGACTGGATGAACAGGTGTTTACAGAAAAAGTTATTTCATTATGTTAGATAAATTGGTTTTCTGTTGACTTTATTGTTTTCTTCATCCAAAGTTCAATTTGAGTCTTGTATATCAGCCTAGTCTTATATTTGAATTGCTGCCCTATTTAAAGAATCTAACTAGTTGTGTCCTGATCAGTTCTTTGACTATTTAACAGAATCTGACGTCATTTGAATAAAAGTAAACCCCTAAAGCCTAAATCCATATCAAAGGAGGCTATTTTAGCAGGAATAAAATAGCAAATCACAAAAGTCGGCAAAAAATCTAAAGAGGGGAATGCAATATGCTATATAAGATCAAAAATAATTATAATATTTCTAAAACTGGTGACTTATTGAAAATAATTTTATTTAATCGATTTAAAGTTAGAAAAAGTATAACTAAAGTAATATACAGTTGTAAAAATTGATAGCTAGGTTAGCCAGTTCTTGTCTCCATGGTTACAAGCAAAGGAACTTCAAACAAGAATCATACTTTTTCATAAAATATTACAAACTTATCTCGAACATTTAAATGCTTATATCACAAACGAATGGCTATAATATGAATAAGACATAACTAAAATGTCTAAATGCTATGTGCTTTACTGTTAGCTGCCGTGGTTAGCAAGTTATATTCTCTATGGTTACAGAACGTAACCATAGTAACTCACGTACCTGTTTTTACGTAACAATATTTAATACGGTAATCTTTACATAAATTCTGCTTTTTAATAGGTATGACTGATTTCTAGTAAGTGCATTTATATTCAGATTATAGCGTTAACTCACTGAAGCCGCCACCAAATGCTTTTATCCAAGGAGTACGTAAACGCTCTACGCGATTTTAAATTACGTAACGTAGCTCTGTGAGTCGCTATGTGTTTCTTTTTCCCCTGCGTTTGTTATTAGAGGTAAGTAAAGTTTTATTTCTCTCTCTTTGTCTTCTGTTTAATTTGGGGCTTAATCTAAGGCTTAGGCCAACAGATTAACATTTACCGTATGTGAAAATGTTTATTAACTAGAGAGCGGAGCACAAAGAGGGAAAGGAATATACTCAGGTGGGTTACCATGGTAGTTACGCAGTGGCTGAGCAGACAGCGCAGGAACCTCCATAGTAAAACAGCGACAATAACAGTGTAGAAAGCTGTTGGAAGCTTTTATTTGACTCTGCGTTTTAGATTCTTTTGGTGAGCGTGTAAACGTACTTTTAAACGTTAATTATTATTATTATTTTTTTTTTTAGCTAAACTGAGGGGGAAAAAAACTATTCTGTATGAGTTAATTTATTTGATAAACATCCAGCAGTAACACAGTCGGCATTGTATTTGTTATTTAAAACTGGCCTTGTCTATTTTTTCTTACCTCCTTTGCAGAAAGTGATGGAAAAATATGAAAAATTGGCTAAAATTGGAGAGGGCTCCTACGGTGTGGTGTTTAAATGCAGGCACAGAGATACTGGTCAGATAGTTGCCATTAAGAAGTTTGTGGAATCTGAAGATGATCCAGTTATTAAAAAGATTGCACAGCGAGAAACACGTATGCTGAAGGTGAGTAGAATATATCCTTTATATTATGATCTTTATAGTGAGGAACACCACTCTGAATTCAATTTAGATCCATCAATACTGTGACTATTATAATCTTTTTAAATGTAAAACACTAAGTCATTTAGCATTAGTTTATACCTTTTCTTTCTCTTTTGTTACCTGGTGGTTTTGCAGCAGCTAAAACATGTGAATTTGGTCAACCTATTGGAGGTATTCAGGAGAAAAAGACGTCTCCACTTGGTGTTTGAGTTCTGTGAACAGACAGTCCTCAATGAGCTGGACAAACACCCCCGAGGGTAAGACAGACGCAGGACAGAATCAAAAACTCTGTTGCATTAACATCTGCTTAAGTGCTGGGAACTATGTTTTCACTAAAGAAATATATAGATCATATTATGCACCAATCACACTTTTCTTGGCTAACTCTGATTTCCTTCTTTTCTGGTCTGAACGGCCTGTTCAGATTTTGACTTATTCTGATATTTTATTTTAAGTAATATAGAGTACAAAGCCTACTGTCAGTGTTAGTAGTTACTAAAAAAATACGCCCAACATCCCGCTGGCAGCTGACACTTAAAGGGGGATTATTTTCTATAAATGTAAATGTCAAAACACACACAGCGGCACTCTTAGTGAGTATCACCCTTTATAAAGAAAGAGGAGGGAAAAAATTAATGAGGTGCTTTCAAGATTTTTAGATTCACAGGGAAAAAAGACAAGATCTGCATCACTGCAAATATGACCTGAAATCTGATTTATCTTTAAAAAAAAAACACACACATTAACTTAGGTTTATTGTATAAGTATGTTCCTTTGACAAATGCTAGTAAAGATTATCAGTCATCCAGATCATAGTCATTCTAAAAAAGTTAAAAAACAATCCACTTGATTCGTACCCAAAGAACCCAACCGACTCCCCATTCCTAAGGGGCAGACCTGTTCTTCTGGTTCAATTTGCATGTTCTTTAAGCCAAAACAAGTTTTTGGGCTACAAATATAAAGCTTCCAACTCAACGCTAATTTTGAAAATTTGAATTGAGAAAGATCCCTGGATGGGAAGCGAAACATCTTAAAACTTGGAAACAAAGTCCAGTGGATTGTTTTTTTGTTTTGTTTTTTTGGAACTTCCATAGACAAAACTATTACAAAAACATAAAGTAACAGTTAAATACCAAAAGCGGAGATTACACACAATAAAATAAATCTATCAACTCTATTTAAATGGCACTTTACAGGTCCAAAGGGCAGGCTCTACAGGACTATAAAATAAAAAGAAAGCAAAAACATAAAGCATCTACAGTAAAGCTTACTGAATAAGAGCAGCTACAATTATTTAAAAAGTAAGAAAATGAAACAACAAATATAGAGATTTAAAGAAAATCTGTTTAAAGCTAAACATTGCTCTAGAGGTAGACTGTTCTACAGCCTTAGTGATGTGAACTCAAAGGTTACTCACCCCTTGGTTTTACATCTGCTAGGTAGCAAGTAGAACATTACTGAAAATCTGAAGACTGTGAGCAGCAGAATAATTGCTGCAATATAATGTTTGAAATGGTCTTATGTCCTAAGTTTCAGTGTTCAAATTTACAGGTTAAAAAAGATTAAGTAGGATTACAGTATCTTTAAACTATTTGGGAAAACCCAGAAGATGATATCATGGTTTCCTCTTCTAATGCTCTAATTGTAATCATCTGATTTAAAAAAGAGACATACCTGTGGATATATTTAAGTTAACGTACTTAACTACTTTCTTGTGTGACATCACGGAAAGATAAAAGACAAGAAAAACCAGCCAAGAGACCAGGAACTCAAAATAAAATGTTGGTCTTCCCCAAGTTTAGTTCCTCTCTGGGTCCAACTGCCAGGTGAAAGACTCATTTGTTCAGCTTTATGTTTGTATAAACAGCATGGTGGTGTTCAGACGTCACACCCTCAGGCAAGAGGAGCGGTTCTGTGTCTAACAGATTAACAGGTTTAGTATATGTGAGTCCCAACTGTGAGGTACGGAGGTGGTATTATCATACTTTGGGAGTATTTTGCTGGTTGAGAGACTGATGCATTTACAAAACATAGGACATTGTGAGAAAAGAACCTCATGTGGATATCATTCCAAGAAACCGGCCTGGAATTTAACCTTTTGACAAAAGCAAAATCCATTTAAAAGTGGCTTAATGACACAACAGTTCAGTGTTTCCTTTACAATAACTAAATGTTTCTATTATGGAGATCTGATCAAATATAAGGAGAGCTGGAAAGATGAATGAGTCCAAGGCAGCCTCTAAACTAACCTTTTAATAAAGTTTAAAAATGTATTTATAGTTTTCCGTTTTAAACCAATTTAAAGTATTTATTATGTGTTTTTTTTTGGGTTTTTTTAAGACAACCTTATAGTACATCTTCTTATGTGGTAAATCCACACAGAATTCTGGTATCCAGCTAACATAAATTATTATTTATAATCCTAAGTGACCTAGATCTTAAAAATCTGTCTCATATGTGCGAACAGTTGTCTCTTTTTTACCATTTATGTTGATGTTTGGTTTCAACAATACTGGCAGAATTATGATGAATTTATAGCAAAGTTGAGAACAAAACCATTGAGCCCTAAAAGCACCACCTACGTTAGAATAGAATAGAAGAGAAAAGAAAATCCCTTTATTGTGCCACAATGGGGAAATTGTGGTGTTACAGCAGCATAAGGTTATAGCAGAAGTGGCCACACAATGTCAATCTTAGAAAAGTGGATAAAAATAACAGATAAGAAAATAAACAAATAAAGTATGAATTTTCCTTTCCTCCAAAGAGCTCCCACAGTTAAACTACAGCTACTTGTCTCGTATTTTTTTTTCCCATAAGGCTGTGCAGCAGAAACTCTAGCTGCTCATGAAACAAAGGTGCTTCTGCTGTTAGAAATGGCCTAAGGTTACTTGAGTGTCTGGAGGGCTGTGTAAAGCACCCTTATCGTTTTCATGCTTGAAGTATTAGATAAGAACAATATTACAGGTTCAAAAAATAAGTTCAGTTCCTGGTACAGCAGTCAGTCCTTCTTTGTCTCTTTAACTCTGCAGGGTCCCTGAAGCTCAGCTGAAAAGTATTGTGTGGCAGACACTGCAGGCTGTGAACTTCTGTCACAAGCACAAGGTCAGGGCATATTTTTATATCAATATCACTCTTCTTCTGTAACAGACAGCTCGGAACAAATGAAGATTATCTTAAAGTTGTAGGGAAGTCATATTTAAATGTCAATGTTCTGGCTTAAACATGTACTTTTTTATCAGACTATATTGTCCCAAAAGTTAGAAAATTTAAATTTTTCAAAAAATCAGGCCAGTTACTTATATGTCAGCTTGTACAACTAAATTCGGCCAATCATATATCAACGGTCATCCGTTAATCAAATTTTTTTTGGTCATGGCATCTTGATTCATATGTCGCAGCTAATATGTGCAACAGTTTAAATAAGTATTAAGAATCAATTTACTTTAGCATTGAGTTCCATCCCAGTGTTCACGGGGATGGACGTCTGTGTCTTCAGCAGGCGTAGAGCTAACAGAACTGGCAGCGTTGCGAGGCAAGGGCTCAAACATGTACGGCTGTAAGCCTTCTACACCAAACCAAGCTTCTGCCGCCCTGGCGTCCTCTTCCACAACAACTTTGTCCCCGCTTCCCTCCTCTAAATAAAAAATTTATGACGGAGGAGACTCATCTACGACCTCCGACACAAAACTCTCTTCCTCTTGCATGTTTCTGCTGTCCATAGCGTTCCTTAATGGTGTCGTCTCTAAGTGCTACTTGGTCCCAATGTAATTTCCCATTGGGAACCTACTAGCACTAAGTTGCTAACTAGTTAGCAAGATGCTTCCGACAAACCGTCCAAAACCAAACTTGCTTGCTAACCTTCCACGACAACAATCCCACCCCCCTGATAAACCACCAAACAAATTAACTTTATTCACTCTCGTAAAGTCGTGTACCACTGGGGAGAATTCGAAATTGCAACGGATGGAACAGCTGTTTCCCTGCGACTTTAAAGCAGTGCTGAACGACCATATCAATCTGATCTACTGGGACCATTATATCCTGATATACACAGGACAGAAGTATAAAGGATAAAGCTCACAGATCTTGTTTTCTCCTGATGTTAAGATGTATGCTGAGCAAAGAGATAATAACCGTTTCATCCAGAGCACATTAGAGGCTTTTGTGAAGGTTCCATTTAAAGTTTCCTGTAGGAGTTTGGGTGGTGGTGTTTTGTTTACATTGTGGCACTGACCTATTTTGCTCCACCACTGGTGGCGTTGTGGAGGAAAAAACTATAAAAGGTGAGATGTAAGAGGGCAGACAGGGTTTGGGTGATGGGAGGTCGTACGGTTTTTACCGCTTCCTTTGGCACACAATAGTCTGCGTCCTGTGGTTAAGATCTGTCATATCACACTCTCCATAATTAGCTTTCCATCTTATTTGCTGGAAAAGGCCGCCACTCTGACAGATTGCTCATTTACAAACTGACCTCAATAAATGGGAACACCCATAACATCATCTTGTAAGCGCGTTAATGCCAAAATTCGCCACACCCAGAAGTGATTAAAAGGTGATTGAGAGTCGCTACATTTCCGTTAAAATAACTCCTCTCCGCGCTAACATGCAATGTTTTTATCTTAAATATTTTACTCTAAAATGCCTCTTAAAATAACAAACAGCTCTGTTAAAATGTAATTTTTCCCATGCAAAATACAGATACAAAATACAACAATCTGTTGGTGGGAAGAGTGCAATAAACCCAGATGATTTAGCTTTTGCACCCTTTAATTCAAACTTTGCATATCAGATTTCAGTCTTCTCTGTGAGGAGTCTATCAGCTTACTATCTCACTTTGACTTTCTAAAATTCAGCCCTCCTTCCTTGTATCCAACCTGGCAAAAGTTCCCCAACATCCTATCAGACTCAACAGACATATCCTGTCCACAGTTTTCATCCCAATGATTTTCTTAGAGATAATGTTCCTGACTCTGGAAAAGTCATTCTGTAACGTGATTGTTTTTCTCTCATAAAGGCTTCCTGTCATTAATTTAAATGCATACAAAAATAAATGGAAACAAAATACAACCATAACTTGTTGGACATTCATCTAGCTTGTTCAGTGTTGCTGACAAAAAACACTGAACAAGCATATGGCTGCATGTTAGGTAAAGATGCCGAACTGATACCTCTGAAATGATATACCACAATCCAAAGTAGTTTTGATAAATTGATATGCATGATGTTAATACAATTGTCCTCTGACCCTGCTTATATTGTGCTTTTTTGTTTTATACAGGATCATTATTATTAATAAATTGCTTGCTTTAAATGTATAAATAAACAAATAATCACACTTTTTATCTCAGTAATAGTAGATGATATGCTGTGTAATGTCATTTCAATAACAGTTTGGCTATTCAGGAAAAAACAGGTCTTTGAATGTGTTTCTCTTGTGATAAATAGCCTTCTTTGCTGCTGTTTTCCAAAGCTGAGCTGTATTAACAACTCCCCCTACAGGTAGTATTTTAGTATGTAGCAGACTTTTCTTTATAATCAGTCTGTAGAGTATTTTAAAAGAGGCTAGATTTATTTATTTTCCTATCATTTTTTTGTTTTTCAGTCAATGCAGTCTGTCTATCTCTGCCATTTTGATGCTTTTTGGTCCTTTTTTTGGTTCTGTCTTAGTGCATCCACCGTGACGTAAAGCCAGAGAACATCCTTCTCACCAAAACCGGAGTCATCAAGCTGTGTGACTTTGGCTTTGCCCGCATTCTGAGTAAGATCATTTAGAGGCCAGCGTGTTTATGTGCACTCAGTGTTAACGCAGCTCTTATGACTTATTCAACATTAAAACAGGGCTTACTGTTAGCCTTCTCTTTTTGTGTGTTTGAATGACTGCTTTGCACAAAAGGATCATTCAGTCAGTTTGTGTCTGTGTGTAGAGCGTCTCTGTTTACCCTCCTGCTTCAGGTTTCAGTGTTACATTGCCATACATCCACATGTCGCCGTCCCATGTAATCCTCTCCTCAGTGTTATTTAGTGTTTATTGCAGTATCTTTAGCAAATGTTCATGTTTACAGGTAGCCTTTATGTGTCTGTCTTTACTCAGCGGGACCAGAGGATGACTACACTGACTACGTAGCGACCCGCTGGTACCGGGCCCCAGAGCTTCTGGTGGGTGACACCCAGTATGGACCTCCTGTTGATGTCTGGGCTCTGGGCTGCGTCTTTGCTGAGCTTCTAAATGGGAATCCTCTCTGGCCCGGGAAGTCTGATGTTGACCAACTGTACCTCATTCGAAAAACTCTGGGTACACTTAACAATCAATTCTGTCTCACAAACACATGTTTAGACTTATTTCGACATTTCTGAGGTGTTCATACCTCATGAACTTTTAGATCATGTCATTAACTTATCAATCCATCCAGGGGCATGCACACATAGACACTAGGTGGTGCTAAAGCACTAGGAAGTTTGCCCTCTATCAAAGAAAATGCCCTTTTGAAACTCGTTTTTTTTTTTTATTATTATTAATATTATTAAGATTTTACTGAGGTCGGTTTTGAAATGATCTTTTGAAAACCTGAGCCATTAAAAACGACTGAAACAATGCCCCGAAATGACCGACCTACTTGCGCACACCCGACCAGCCTCTCTCTCTTCCTTTGTCACGTGAAGTCGCTCGGTCGCCCGCAGGGCATGCCAGATGCGCAGCATCATAGCAGTTTTCAGATAGCAGGAACGGTCGCTGACAGGCTGCTTCTCCCGTGCCCCATAAGCCAGGTAATATACAGATCAAGCAGAATCATTTTGTTGTGTATTAAAATGTCTCATTCAGCAGCACCAAACAAGCATTTTGCCGACTGGTCACCAGATAAACTAGTTGTCTCCTTGTAAGATGCTATTTTACTTTTTATATTTTGTATCCATATTTTTTATCTTAAGTGTATACATTAGTCTATTTTATTGCATGACGTATACCCACAGTTTTTAGATATTTTTATAATTTTATTTACCTATTCCATATTATATGTTTCATGTTGCACGATTGTACCATAAAAAATTCCTAGTTTGTGAACTCCTTCACTAACAATGGCAATAAACCTGATTCTGATTCTGAAAGTTTTACACTGTAGCCCAAGTCAATGACAGATAACGTGAGGACGACCACATAGGCTACAAATAATTTTGGTAGAGTTTGCAATTGCAAATCTACGGAAGAGGATTAGGGCCACTGAAAAAAAAAAAATAAGTTAACTGATTTTTAAATTTTATTTCAGTTTAGTATGGGAAAAAAGTCAGAATGCTGACTTTAATCTCATAATTCTAACTTTTTTCTCATAATTCTGACTTTTTGCTGAGAATTCTGACTTTTTGCTGAGAATTCTGACTTTTTGCTCAGTATTCTGACTTTAATCTCAGAATTCTGATAATAAAAAAGTCAGAATTCTGACTTTTTTCCCATGTTAAACTGAAATAAAATTTAAAAATCAGTTAACTTTTTTTTTTCAGTGGCCCTAATCCTCTTCTGTACAAATCTATGTGTTAAGACAAACGTTTTCTGTTGTATAGGTTTTGTTAGGCAACATACAGGTGCTGGTCATAAAATTAGAATATCATGAAAAAGTAGATTGATTTCAGTAATTCCATTTAAAAAGTGAAACTTGTATATTATATTCATACATTACATACAAACTCATATATTTCAGATGTTTATTTTGTTTAATTTTGATGATTACAAATGACAACAAATAAAAATCTCAAATTCATCATATCAGAAAATTAGAATATTGTGAAAAGGTTCAAAATTGATGGCCCCTGGTGCCACACTCTAATCAGCTAATTAACTCAAACCACCTGCAAAAGCCTTTAAATGGTCTTTCAGTCTAGTTCTATAGGCTACACAATCATGGGGAAGACTGCTGACTTGACAGTTGTCCAAAAGACGACCATCGACACCTTGCACAAGGAGGGCAAGACACAAAAGGTCATCGCTAAAGAGGCTGGCTGTTCACAGAGCTCAGTGTCCAAGCACATTAATAGAGAGGCGAAGGGAAGGAAAAGATGTGGTCGAAAAAAGTGTACAAGCAAGAGAGATAACCGCACCCTGGAGAGGATTGTGAAACAAAACCCATTCAAAAATGTGGGGGAGATTCACAAAGAGTGGACTGCAGCTGGAGTGAGTGCTTCAAGAACCACCACACACAGACGTATGAAAGACATGGGTTTCTGCTGTCGCATTCCTTGTGTCAAGCCACTCTTGAACCACAGACAGCGTCAGAAGCGTCTTGCCTGGGCTAAAGAGAAACAGGACTGGACTGCTGGTGAGTGGTCCAAAGTCATGTTCTCTGATGAAAGTAAATTTTGCATTTCCTTTGGAAATCAAGGTCCCAGAGTCTGGAGGAAAAGAAGAGAGGCACTTCATCCACGTTGCTTGAAGTCCAGTGTAAAGTTTCCACAGTCAGTGATGGTTTGGGGTGCCATGTCATCTGCTGGTGTTGGTCCATTGTGTTTTCTGAGGTCCAGGGTCAACGCAGCCACATACCAGGAAGTTTTAGAGCAATTCATGCTTCCTGCAGCTGACCAACTTTTTGGAGATGCAGATTTCATTTTCCAACAGGACTTGGCACCTGCACACAGTGCCAAAGCTACCAGTACCTGGTTGAAGGACCATAGTATCCCTGTTCTTAATTGGCCAGCAAACTCTCCTGACCTTAACCCCATAGAAAATCTATGGGGAATTGTGAAGAAGAAGATGCAATACACCAGACCCAACAATTCAGAAGAGCTAAAAGCCACTATTAGAGCAACCTGGGCTATCATAACACCTGAGCAGTGCCACAGACTGATCGACTCCATGCCACGCCGCATTGCTGCAGTAATACAGGCCAAAGGAGGCCCAACTAAATACTGAGTGCTGTACATGCTCATACTTTTCATGTTCATACTTTTCAGTTGGCCAACATTTCTATAAATCCTTTGTTTTTATTGGTCTTCAGTAATATTCTAATTTTCTGATATGATGAATTTGAGATTATCATTTGTTGTCATTTGTAATCATCAAAATTAAACAAAATAAACATCTGAAATATATGAGTTTGTATGTAATGTATGAATATAATATACAAGTTTCACTTTTTAAATGGAATTACTGAAATCAATCTACTTTTTCATGATATTCTAATTTTATGACCAGCACCTGTAAATTAACACATTTTGGTCTCTTAATTGTATATTGATTTAGTAATTGCAGCACAATGCCAAGAAAGGAGGGTTAATCATATTGAAAAATCTTAAAAGCTGTTCACATTTTATTTTTAAGTGGTTTGTGCAGCAGGTATTAAAATAGCTATTATTTTGTAGGCTACCATAAGTCATATCCACGTGACAAGACTTCCAGTCATGTTGCCCTAATAGCCCATTATTTAAACTAATGTGGCATATTTGTTAAAGCTATTATTATTATTATTATCATTATTATTATTATTATTGTCATGATGGTTATTATTAATATATTGTAGCCAGTCACAGCAGGGAAGCTCTATACCATCAACATATAACAGGACAGGAGATGAGGAAGAGTTCAGGGAAGACACAGAGACAGAAAAAGACCAGGATGAGGGAGAACAGATGGGTGAGGGAAAACAGGGAGATGAGCCAGAGGAAAGAAGTATGCTTTAGTCTGTTCTGTTGGTGATGTGACTTTTTTCCATTTAAAACTCACGTTTAGAGAATGTTACAAATAAAAGTCAAATTTCATTCAACATGTGTTTATTTTTTTTTATAATTAAGTGTTACACGTGCGCTAAAAAGTGCCCCCCCCCCTCCTGAGCACCTGCCCCCCAAAATGTCTGTGCACGCCTCTGAACATGCGTTTATTTTTTTTTATAATTAAGTGTTACACGTGCGCTAAAAAGTGCCCCCCCCCCCCCCCCCCCCCGCTCCTGAGCACCTGCCCCCCAAAATGTCTGTGCCTCTGAATCCATTTCTCCGAATCGCAAAGGGTGCTGGTGCCTATCTCCAGCTGGCTACAGGCGAGAGACAGGGTACACCCTGGATAAATCACCAGTCCATTGCAGGGCAACACAGAGACAAAGAATTCACACACACACTCACACCTAAGGAGAATTTAGAGAAGCCAATTAACCTAACAGTCATGTTTTTGGACAGTAGGAGGAAGCTGGGGTACCCGGAGAGAACCTACACATGCTCAGGGAGAACATGCAAACTCCATGCAGAAAGACCCCGGGCCAGGAATGGAACCCAGAACCTTCTTGCTGCAAGGCAGCAGTGTCACCAACTGTTCCACTGAGCAGCCTGTCATTAATTTACACTTTAATTAACATGATTGAGGTTTTATGTAAAAAAAAAAAAAAAAACAACAAGAAAGGTTAAAGCAAAGGGAATGTTTTATAATGTTTGATTTTTTATTTGTATGCATATGCAGAATGTTTTAGCCCATTCTCCTTTGCAAAATAGCTCAGCATCAGTCAGATTGATGAGATAACCTCTGCATACACTAACTTTGAAGTCCTGCCACCAATTCTGAATTGCATTTAGGTCTGATTATTGCCCAGGTCACTCAAACAGATTCATATTATCGGGTTAAAACGTTTCCATTGTACCTCTGACTGCGTGTTTCATGTTACTGCTAGAGGAGCCCCCTGTGTCTCCATCTGCAACCATTTGCAGACTCTTAAGTGTTTCTTCCATGGTTACTCTGTATTTAGCCCAGACTATCTTCCCATTAACTCTGAACGGCATCCTTGTCCCTACCAAAGAAAAGCCTTCCTGCATGATGCTTCCACTGCCATCTAGGAGATGTGCAGTTTCGTCTTTCTCCTACTTCCTGTATGGTTTTCTTTCAACAAAATAGTTTTTTCTGCCACTACTCCATAAAGGACAGGACTGTGTGTAACAAAAAGTTACCCACAAACGCATCATACCTGCTTCTCTGCTTAATTCCATCATTACTTGATCTTTAAATTTCAGCCAGAAATCTGGAAGCTTAAAAGTTACCTGGACTCTTTCCAGCTTTAGCTAAGGATGATATAGAATGAGACATATTTTCAAAGATAGATATGGTAACAAATGCAGGTATAAGAATTATTTCAGTTTTTTTTATGACATAATTGTAATCATTTCCACAACAGAAGGACAATAAAACTACCAGTTATTCTTTTCAGATCTATTTTTCTTGTAAATAGGTTAAAAATGACTGTATTTACTTTGTATTGCATTATTTTCTGCAAACTTTAACATCGTATAAAATAAATAATTCAATTTGATTTTTAAAATACAGTGAAGTGAATAATTGTTACATATCAAAGTATGAAAAAGATTTATGGATACTATGACTTAGGCAAGGCAGTGTAAGGTCAACATATGATCGGCTCTTTTCCACATGTCCCTCCCATACTGCAGGTGACTTGATCCCCCATCACCAGCAGATTTTCCGTTCCAATGTTTTCTTCTCTGGAGTCAGTATTCCTGAACCGGACACCATGGTATTTCTCACCATCCTAATGAGCAAAACAGAGAATTTACAAAGTAGAGTCAATTAATTCAATAACCTTGTTTTCTTCAAGGAACCCTTGGAATGGCGATTCCATGGAGCTTCTCCTCAAGCTCTTCAGGTCATGAAGGTATGCAGAGTTCATTTTCTATAAAACTGCAGGAATATTCTCTCTAAATCAGTTGGGTTGGGAGAATATTCACAATTCTGTAGAGAAAGATAATACACACTCTCTTTTATGTCTTATTTTAATGTATTTTCTATTTTTTAATCATTTTAATCTTAATTATTTTTTCCCAATCACTTTTAGGTCATGTGACTTATGGACACAAAATTGATGTAAAATCATTATTCTAGCCTGAACAGAGGATTGTTTTTTTTAATCCAATTTTCATACATTTACTATTTTTTTTCACAAACTTTTAAAATGAAGAAACTCTTGTTTCGTTTTCCATTATAAGAAAATAATTTCATTTACCGTTGGTCCCAAAGTAAAATGATGATAATGTTTATAAGGAGGGAGTCGGCAGAGAGCAGCTGCTAACAGTAGAGCTACTGATGTCAGATTTTCCTGGTGAGGTCACATCTCTAATCCAATAGCAAAACTCAGAAGCGGCAACCTATTTGTAACCTGAGGTGGGCTGCAAACAGAAATTCCACCACTGACATATACAGAGACAAACCACGCATGCACAGGAAAAACTATTTAATTTCCGTTTGGGATATTAAAGTACTTTTGAATTGAATTCGATTTATACAAAAGACGCAGCCTACAATACATTTCAGTTTATTTTTTTATTTGTTTATATCGATCTACACATATATATATATATATATATATATATATATATATATATATATATATATATATATATATATATATATATAAATACATCTAATAATACAAAAGTTATACATGTATATATACACACAAATACATAAATATCCTATCTATTTATCTATCTACCAATATATATGTATCTATGACTTACGTGCATTAACGATTTGTACATAGTTTCTCACAGAAGTTTTAAATGCCCTAAAACCCCTGGAGTAGGACTGTTCTGGTGTTTTCTTATTTTATATTACTGCATTTCTGCAGGTAGGGAGTCTTGACTGTAGCAATGTGGTGTAGCTTATCCGAAGAAATGCACAGAAAACCTTGCTTAGCTTTGATAGCTGCTTGAAGACCTGCTGTAAATACTTTAGCAAATATCAGCTGGGATTTCGCAAGTTGACAGAAATATGATAATGTTCGAATCATAAAATACCAACAATAATGTGTGTTTTTTTTTTTCATTCTGAAAAGTTATCCCCGCAAGTTCGGATGGAATTAGTCATTTTATTTGAACAAAGACATCTTGCACAGTGCTGAAGCATCTTCTGCAGTTTTTGTTTAACTAATTGGATGACTACTCCAGATGGTCAGAGTATGTCATTTACCCCAGCAACCAATGGGGGGGTATCTTTATTATTTATTTATGCATTTCTTATGGAATACATAATATATATATATATATATATATATATATATATATATATATATATATATATATATATATATATATATATATATATATATATATATATATATATATATATATATATATATATATATATATATATATATATATATATAAAACCAATATGCATCCTCCTCTTGTTCTCTCAAAGTTAAAATAACTGTATTCTTTCAAATTAATTGAGGAAGAGTAAGTTTGCTGGCCTATTTACTACTTTCTTTAAACATAAACATATACATATATATATATATACACTCACCGGCCACTTTATTAGGTACCCCATGCTAGTAACGGGTTGGACCCCCTTTTGCCTTCAGAACTGCCTCAATTCTTCGTGGCATAGATTCAACAAGGTGCTGGAAGCCTTCCTCAGGTGTTTGGTACATTGTGATCATAAAGGGATGGACATGGTCAGCAACAATACTCAGGTAGGCTGTGGCGTTGCAACGATGCTCAATTGGTACCAAGGGGCCCAAAGAGTGCCAAGAAAATATCCCCCACACCATGACACCACCACCACCAGCGTGAACCGTTGATACAAGGCAGGATGGATCCATGCTTTCATGTTGTAGACACCAAATTCTGACCCTACCATCCGAATGTCGCAGCAGAAATCGAGACTCATCAGACCAGGCAACGTTTTTCCAATCTTCTATTGTCCAATTTCGATGAGCTCGTGCAAATTGTAGCCTCAGTTTCCTGTTCTTAGCTGAAAGGAGTGGCACCCGGTTTGGTCTTCTGCTGCTGTAGCCCATCTGCCTCAAAGTTCGACGTACTGTGCGCTCAGAGATGCTCTTCTGCCCACCTTGGTTGTAACGGGTGGTTATTTGAGTCACTGTTGCCCTTCTATCAGCTCCAACCAGTCTGGCCATTCTCCTCTGACCTCTGGCATCAACAAGGCATTTCCGCCCACAGAACTGCCGCTCACTGGATGTTTTTTCTTTTTCGGACCATTCTCTGTAAACCCTAGAGATGGTTGTGCGTGAAAATCCCAGTAGATCAGCAGTTTCTGAAATACTCAGACCAGCCCTTCTGGCACCAACAATCATGCCACGTTCAAAGTCACTCGAATCACCTTTCTTCCCCATACTGATGCTCGGTTTGAACTGCAGGAGATTGTCTTGACCATGTCTACATGCCTAAATGCACTGAGTTGCCGCCATGTGATTGGCTGCTTAGAAATTAAGTGTTAACGAGCAGTTGGACAGGTGTACCTAATAAAGTGGCCGGTGAGTGTATATATATATTTGGATTTGAATGTTCTTAAAAATAGAGAATAACCAGATGTTTATGTATTAAATTAATCATTTGATCATTTTCAAAGTACATTTTATGTAAATCCTTAACCTGGATGAATGCAGTGTTGTTGACTGACTAAATTGCATTCAGCACACCACTGCTGCCAAGATTTTGAGTATTTTATATTTTAATAGAAGTTAAATTCTTCCAACAGAAATCCTTCTGACTTTCTTCTTTAAGTAAGATACTAACCGCTCATCAGAACTTCAACCATAATCTTACTTGAAAACTCTCTGTGGAGTCAATAAAAACACACAATAACATATTACAAATGTTTTGTGTCTCTGTTTATACAGTCCTGCCTAGTTATGGACCCCTCGCTCCGGCTGTCCTGTGAGGAGCTGTTGGAGCTGCCATACTTTCAGGATCAGGGAGGGGCGAACTGGGGCCGAGAAGTGGAGCGCCCTGGAAGGAGACATGACAGAGGGTCCCGGCGCAGACAAGCTGGGGTAAAGATGACGCTCAGGCTGCTTCAAATGTCTACCTTAATCCCTTTATAGAGCATACGAGTTACACCATTTTTATGAGTGTCCGAATGTCTAGTGGATAAAAAAGTAGTGGACTCAAAATGTTCCACAATGCACTTGAAAAGTAGTGTGCATCCATGATTACTAGACAAGCAGATATATCCCAGAACGTTTTGCAAGAGTTATCCTTCCAAAGCAACATGGGATTTTTTGGGGGGTGAGAGAGACCAAAGGTGGCGCAGGCATCATGCAGGGAACCGGTGTGAGACCAACAGGGAGCGAAAAGCAGTGATCATCTGTCAGAACGGTCAGTTAACTGAGTTCACTATAAAGACCACTATAAAGTCCTCGCTCTGGAGTTATTGAGGGGTTAGAGGTTAGGACACGCGGTCGGACACGGCAACTCTGTAACATTCAGTATATCTGAGGGGCTGAGTGCACGTCAGCAGCCATGGAGTTCCTCAGTCTAGTCAAAGCCTCTCTGATGTTATCCATAAAAGATGTCCCTTTCTCTGTGTGCTTCCCTCCCTTTAGGTCCAGTATCTTCCTCAGTTACCTCAGAGTAACATCTCACCTGCCCCAGATGTCAAGAAACTAGTAAAGCATAAATATCACCTGCCCAACATTTAAATACATCAACAATTTTAGTTGCAGCTATTGAATTAAACTAATAAAAAATGCAATTGCTTTCCTTGACTATGTGCAGTCCCTTTGTTACACCTGATATGTATTTTATCCTGTGTTGTGTTTGATTATATAATTCCAGTTTTATTTGTAAATCTTAGCAGGATAAGACAAAACATACATTTTATTTTGAACTCTTGCTCAATGTGCAGTAAATATGTTTTGTAATTACAAGAATGTATGTTTGTTCCCAATTAACTATTAGTATGCAAATAGATTTCATAATACTGAGTGTGAAGGTTGCTTTGAGTAGTCATGACTAGAAAACCTATACAAATTTAATGCAAGTTTACATGTTTTTTTTTTAAATACAAACATGAGGTAAATTCACCTGCCATCCCAAAGTTAGAGAACATCTATGACATTTTATATCACACAAAAAACAAAAGGTTAATATCTTTTTATTAAAGGTCTTCTTGGCACAATCAAGTCGACATCAAGATATAAAAAAAAAAAAAAAACTTCTCTCAAGTTACAACTGATACACTAAGGTGCTGGTTTTGAACAAGCCTTCAGTTGTCTGGACTGGGATCCCTGCAGTCTGACACAGAGACTGTTGTTCACCAAGAAGACATTGATAAGAATGACGCACAGTTTGGCAGGATCTCCTCACCTGGAAGTTATCAAATTACGTCTCATTGTCGTGTATCTATGGGTTCCTGTCAACCAGCAGGTTTCATGTCCCCAGTTGCTTCTCATGCTTTTATATTCATCTTAGTTGTATTTTTATTGGTTTACAGTGGATTCCAATTCAATACATATAAAATATCAGTAGTTTATTTGCCTATTCAAAAATACATTTTTGAGCACATTTTTATTAGTTTTGAGTTTTAACAAACAGACAAATTGAACATTATGGCATTATCTCTGTATAAAAAAAAGAGGGTAAAACCTGGCACTGCTCTTTGCCAAATAGTCATATTGTGTCCTTATTGGTCTAATGCTTTAGTTACAGTCATGATTGTCAAACATTTACATACAAATTTAACACCCAAATACAAGGGCGTAGGAATATGTTTACAATTGGGGGGGACACATGTCGGAAATCTGAGATTCGTAAATATTCAACAGAAACATATCTTAAGTACGCTACTTAAAAAAAAGGCTATTTAATCTTTTACTTTATTCCTTTATAAATGTGTTTGCAAAAATAATGCATTTAAAATTAACATAATGCATTTGTTCATAAGATGTGAGCATATCACCAAACAAAATGACTGGAGTCTTTTATTAAGCAAAGGGAGATGTCTTTCAAGGGCTTCAGCCCTTGGCATATTTAGTGGCCGCATACGCACTAGAAAATCAAAACAATTCAGTAGGCCACACAAGTGCAAAGTTTGATATGTTTTATTTTGTCAAACTTGCAATAATGGTCAAAAATGAATTTATATAGGTTGACTGACAGAGGGAGCTGACAGTGTGTTGAAGAATTATGGACAGGGCACTTTGAAGCATCTGGTTCAAAAACGCATTATCAACCTTTGGTAGAAATCCATCCATCTTTCCATTTTCTGTACACCCTGTCCCTTAGTGGGGTCGGGAGGTGCTGGTGCGGGGTCCACCCTAGACAGGTGGCCAGTCTGTCCAGACCTTTGGTAGAAATGGCGCCTTTAATTCCAATTTGCAGTACAGAACAGAGAAAACTACAGAGTTGTCAATGTTGTGTTAATCTGTTTATAGTGTAAAAAGAGGAGCCAGCAGTTTATTTGAGGAAATAAAGATGCAGAAGTTAATTAGTTGGTTAATTAGTGGTTGTGCAGCAGTCCGCTGCACGACCAATGCGGCCGCCGCTGCTAAGAATTAGAATTAATTCTCCCTGTGGTTTTAACTTACGATCAGGAGCGTGGCAGGTATAACATCTGCCATTTCGGGGAATCAAAACCATGCAAAAAATAAAAAAATCCTCGTAAAACGCACGCCCAGACCGGGCTAATTTCAACACAAGTTGTGTTAGGTGACTGTTACTCACACTGACGTTTCAATTTAAAAAAAATCTGAGTAAGTCCTACTGCTGTTTCAGCCTTTTAGTTGGTGGTGGCATTGTACTGAAATGAGATATAAAAAAATATATATAAAAAAAACATTTTGCTAGCGTGGCAAACGTCTAGAGAAAGTTAGCAGTTAAATATTGGATGAGTGATCAGCCCAAGACTACGGAAGAGGATTAGGGCCACTGAAAAAAAAAAAAAAAGTTAAGTGATTTTTACATTTTATTTCAGTTTAATACGGGAAAAAAGTCAGAATTCTGACTTTTATTTTCAGAATTAAGACTTTTTTTCTCAGAATTTTGGATCTTAATGTAGATGGGCACCATGAAGGCAGAGATGTGGAGCACTCAGCTTCACTGACAAAGATGTGACTTGTTTGAGAGAGCCAGTGACACATTGGTGGAAAATGACAGAATTAGGCAACTTTTTACGTGCCCGAGGGGTCCCCTCATTAATGGAGGAGCAGAAGGTCATTAAAACAAGAGAGCTAGTCTCTAAAAGAGACATGGCTATGGCTTGATGCTAACATGTTTGTTGTTAAACATACTTTTGTTATATTACATTTGTGTTGTGTTTTCCAAATAGTGTAGAAAATGAATGGTGGGTTTATAATATTTACCTTTTATGAGCAGGACAGGAAGTGTAGCATTACCTCCAACTAGTTAAACTCATAATTATGAAGTTATTCAACAAATTCCTCAAGTAAAAAAGTGCAACTTTTATTTTTTATTTATTTTTATTTTTTTTTACCAGATTTGTTGATTAATTTCAGAATTATGTATTCCTTCCAAATTTCCAAATCTGTAGAATTGTTTAAACCAATATCTACATTATTTAACATTTAGTTTGTTTTAGCAGTACTTCCTGTTATATTTCTTTATACGTATATTTTACATTTTCTTGCACAGCAAGCTCAGCAGATTTGAAATTGTGTGCTTGTGTAAACACAAGTAGTCAATCTTTACTCTAAACATATATTCTGGTTATTTTTTAGTTAGACCTTCTTGTTTTTATATATCTGTATAGTACCCCCCCCCCGCCCCCCAAACACCAAAAGAAAAACTGTAAATTGATTAGAAATATTAATCATCTGTCAGATATCTGAGAAAAAAGTCAGAATTCTGAGATTAAAGTCAGAAATCTGAGAAAAAAGTCAGAAGAAAAAAGTCAGAATTCTGAGATTAAAGTCAGAATTCTGAGAAAAGTCAGAATTCTGACTTTTCCCCCCATGTTAAACTAAAAAAAAAAAAAATGTAAAAATCAGTTAACTTTTTTCAGTGGCCCTAATCCTCTTCCTACAAGTCTAAGATGCCTAAACCAAAAAGATTCAGTTTCTATATATGAAAGTGAACTGACAACAAGACGTTATAAATAAGCAATATTCATAGCAGCATTCCCGACAGACCATTTTACCTCATTAACAAGTTTCTGACTTTCTGTATCGCTGTTTCCCTCCCGTCTGAGTGCTCAAACACTCAACAGTTCACAGAGGGGAGGGGGAGTACAGTGACGTAACGCTATGTTGCGCCTTCAAAATAAAAGCACGATAGTTAAAAAATTGTCAAAATCTAATATTTTGCGGTACAATTTTTGGGGGGGACATATCCCCCCCGCTTCCTACGCCGCTGCCCAAATAGACAATCAGCCATGTTGATGGAAAAACAGCATTTTGTCCACTTGTCACAAGTTGAGCCAGTTCTATAGGTAAATATGAGGAGACCAAGTATTAATGAAATATATCTCATTTCCCTAGAGGACTGCACCAATCCTTATATGGGAAAGGATCTTAAATATTCCTCTATACTACTGTATAACTCTATAAATGGCTTCCTGTCAATCATCCTCAATATACGCTGATCAAGATCTCCTTTCCCATTTCTGTGCAATGTCACTGGCATCACCCGGGCTAAGAGATTAGAAGAGTGCATAAGGTGTAGAAATACAATGCCTGATCTTTTACTCTCTATATGAGCAGTAACTTTTTTAGATAACCAGAGGATTTATATTTGGTGTTAATATAAAAGCTATAGGAAAATATTCACCTGAATAATGCTTAAAAGCAATTAACGATAAATGATTAAATGATTAAAAAAATATATTAAAGAATAGATGTTAAAAGATTTCTTGAGGATTTAAAAAATATATTACAAATACCAAATTATCTTGGAACCCCCGTTAAAACGACTTAAAAAAAGTGTCCGTCTGGCTAAAAGAATGATCAAATGCATGAACACATAGATACAATTAGAGCGACCTTTGCAACAAATTTCCTGCCGACTTCTGAACAATGTCCAAAAAAAGGAAATGTCTACCCCTCTGCAAACTTCCTGTGCTTTGTGACAACTCACAACCCCTTATGTCTTTCTCTTCCACTATAAGTATTGTAAAATCCCACCATCTGATAAGAATTTGCAAACTTTGCTCTACTAAACTGAAAAAAAAAAAAACAAATATAGTCAGCGCTAAATAGTGAGACAGACAGAAATACAGCTTCACTTCTTTTTAAAGGAAGACCATTTTGTATATATGAAAGTCAGTCTTGACAGACTGAACATACATAGTTAAGGGGTATGATCTCAACTACTGGACATAGTTTAATGAAAATTACTTAAAAATTATGCAAACAAACTTAACATCAGGGTTCCAAGCCCTTTGCAGTCTTTTGTTCTCAATCGTTTCTAAAATAAATGATTAATCCTTTCAAAAACATAATCTAGAAAATATGGCTCTATTTTGGAAACTCCTCCAGAGCCTCTGGAAAAGATTTTACAATGAAAGCTTCCATCATAAAATACAGAACATCCTAGACAGCCCTGATCATCCTCTTGATCAGACATCTGTATGACAGAGCCTATTCAGTCAGAAGCTTCTAAAGAACCGCTGTAAGACAGGCTGCTACAGAAGATCCTTCATGTCTACAGCCATCAATGACTCGAGACCTTAAAGAAAACACCTATAAGATACAACATTCAATTTCCCTTTGGGAACAATAAATTATTTCTGAATTGAATTAGATTTTCCCTTAATGGAATGGTACAAGTATGGATTTATTCTAAAATATTAAAAAAGATCACAGTAATATTTCAATTAAATCAGACATAAAGAAAAAGCATAAAAACACACATTTAATACATCAGTCAAAACATTGTCCAACGTTAATGATCAGCTTTGAACATGTTCATCTTTAAAACTTGGCCTTTTTAGGTTTTTAGGTACTTAAAGCGAGTAGTGGAAGAAACTTTCACAAAAGATGTTTGAAAAGACATGATAGAAATATTAAAATGAGGACATGTTTATCTACTTACAGTGACTGCTGGGATAAAAGAGCTCTTAAAGTCATAGGGAAACGGCATTTCCAGTGGTTGCAATTCTGAATTCTCCCAAGAGATGCCAGACTTTACATGAGTGAATAAAGAGAATGTGATTGCTGAAACCATTGATATATGATTGGCCGAATTTAGGTGTACAAGCTGACGTATAACTAACTGGCCTGCATAAAATAACCAGAAAAAAAGGGTTTAAGGCTTTAAGACAGACATTTATATATACGTTTAAGCCAGAAGGATTTGAAATTTAAATATGGCTTCCCTACGACTTTAAGTGTATTCGTTCTATATAAATCTCCTACATGGAAGGAGGGGCTTAAACTATGTGTGTAGGGGAATGGTGGAGTCCAAGACTTTTTGGCTTTCTCTACTAGTCTATTATAGTATTCAATTATATTCCAATGATTTTTTTTTTTTCTGATAATGCTTTGCGAACAATTACGGTTTTATAGATACATCAAATAAAAAAGGAAGAGAGGATCTTTGTTTGGTTGCATCATTTAGCTTTTGTTTTTCATCGAGGTGTTGCAATTATATCATAAGAACGAGGCACATTGGCAAAGGTGCTGTATTCTGGAATGAGGTCAATACTGTTGGGACCTCCAGAACAGGAAAAGCTGAAGTCCTGCAGGAGCGTCACCAAGAAGATAAAGAGCTCCATACGAGCCAGAGATTCTCCGACACAGGATCTTTTACCTGTGAACAGACACACATATAAGGATAAAGTAGCTTTTAAGTGCATGCTATCTGATTGTTTATAAACTGTGAGGGGACATCTTTACCTGCAGAAAATGGAAAGAATGCTGGGTTTTTCTTAAAGTTGCCATTTTGGTCTAGAAAATGCTGAGGATTGAAGGCGAAGGGAGTCGCCCATTGCTTCTCATCTTTAAGGACTGAGTGCAGCAAGGGTACAATGATAGTCCCCTACAAAGACACAACTTTTTATTAACAACAGAACAAGCTGTATTCATAAAGAGTAAGGTGCTTAAACCTTAAAGGTGCATAGTCACATTATATAAATATGCCAGCAGCTCATTCTAGTAGCATAAAATAGTTTTCTGAAAGTTAACTATTATTTGTTGTTTTTGTGTTTTACCATTAATTTATTCCATTTATGTTGGTATATAAAGCCTTTGTTGTACATTTTCTATACTAGTACTATGCATGATCTTTTGGGGTAAACAATGAATTAATGGGTTGAGCCAGTTAGTACCTCCAGGTGGAGTTGTGAAATTGATTAAGAATGGTACAAGATCCAATGTGGAAAAAATACTTGGTCAAAGAGGCCTGATAGCGCCTGGAATACACTCTGGATGTTGGTGTGCAGTGAGGTGGAGCTAAAGCTGCTGAGGATATCAGATACACTGCAGAGTCGATGGATGAGCGAGTTCACATCCCTATTAATATTGATATTATCTAATTAATGGCTGATTAAATATATTTAATTAATTGGTTGTTCTTCGACATGGGAGGTTCTAGACAGGGACTAACAGGGGTCAGTCCTCCTGTAGAACTGGTCCTGGCCCCTGGTATGGGCCCTATACTAAAAACATATACTACAACATTTGAAAAAAATATTAACTAAATTCTTCTTAAAATGATTAATTTTAAAATATTTGCCAATGGTATAAGATGTTTGAGGTTTAAAATAAAGAAAATAAAATTCTGCATTAACTTATTTCAAGTGCATACTATTTATGTTGTATTTAAGGGCAAAAATATTCATTCCTTCAGCAGATCATTATAATTAGTTCCTCAAATTAAAGCTACAGTGTGTAACTTTTAGCGACATCTAGCGGTCAGACTGCAGACTGCAGCATCATGAACATCTCCCCCCCACCGCTTCTCCCCCCCAACAGTACGGCGAGCGTTACGGGACAAAATGTCTTCCACGACGTCTGCATCCCCTACCTTCTCAAGTGATGAGGTTTGTTTACATAGATAATTTTACAGATAGTATTTCATTAGTCTGTGTTAGGGTTGTCAAAAGTATCGATACTCAAAAAAGTATTGATACTGAAACGTTGTATCCGGATACAATACTCATTTTCAAAAGTATCGACACAGCCATCTAAAGTGCAGAGTAGTGGAAAATGCACTTTCTGAACACTGTGTGATTGAATAATTCTGTGCATTTTTCAGTTTCACACTTTTTTCTGTAACAGGTGCAGCTGCTAAGAATTATTTTTGTTTAATTGGTTTGGCTAGTGTCATTGTTATGTCTGCAAAACATAGCCAAGGAAGGAACACTTAATTTTAATTTTGTAAGTTTTTTATCAAGCTTGCTTAATATTGTGCACAGCATACAACCTCAAAATATTATTCTTATTGTTTTTTTATTTATTTCTTGTATTTGTTTAGTAATGAAAATATTTCTGTTGAATTTTAGAGTCTTTGGTTTTTCCTGTGGTATCGAAAAGGGTATCGAGTATCGAATATTTTACTTAGTATCGGTATCGAGTTGAAAAGTTTACTATCGTGACAACCCTAGTCTGTGTAGGGTATAGATTTCATGTGGACTTAAGACATTAAATATACCCGTTATTTTTTCTACATCGTTGTGACATTTTGGCGATCTCGCAATAGCTAGTTTGTTGGCTCTGCCCTGCCGTAGCGCAAAGATGTCTGCCTCCATGGCTGCGAGACCTGCTCCTATGTAATTATAAATAACAAATTCTAAAGCAACGCAAATATTAAGGTTAAGAGGCTGAGCTCGTAGATGATGATAAATAATATAGTTATGTATAATATATTACATTTCTGACTGTATATCCCTGTAATTATTACACACTGTAGCTTTAAAGCTACAGTGTGTAATAATTTTTAGCGACATCTAGCGGTCAGAGTGCAGACTGCAGACTGCAGCAACATGAACATCTCCCCCCCACCGCTTCTCCCCCCCAACAGTACGGCGAGCGTTACGGGACAAAATGTCTTCCACGACGTCCGCATCACCTACCTTCTCAAGTGATGAGGTTTGTTTAGATAGATAATTTTACAGATAGTATTTCATTAGTCTGTGTGTTCAGTACCGTCTCAGTTCATCTCTCTCAACTTGCCGTAGTTACTTTCGACCGTAATGGGCGATCTCGCAATAGCTAGTTTGTTGGATCTGCGCTGCCGTAGCGCAAAGATGTCTGCCTCCATGGCTGCGAGACCCGTTCCTATGGAATTATAAATAACGAATTCTAAGGCAACGCAAATATTAAGGTTAAGAGGCTGAGCTCGTAGATGATGATAAATAACATAGTTATGTATAATATATTACATTCCTGCTTGTATATCCCTGTAATTATTACACACTGTAGCTTTAAGGGAAAATACACTCATTTTAAGAGTTTTTTTTTTTTACTTTTTCAAATCAGTTTTTGTAGTGTAATAATAAATTTAAAATGATATATCCTGAAAGAAGAGACCACAACTGATTCTTCCCTTGGACTATTTTTAATATTTTGCCTTTATGATTTAGTGGAACATTTAGACATTTAGAAACATTTAGAAATTGCAGTCAGCTTTAAGCTTTGGTTGTAACAAGATAGGATCACAGTTTTTTTATCTGTTAGACCTTGCTGGATAAATGCCCCATTAGGGTCAGTGTAGATGACATGTGTTAAAGTCATGAAACTGAAAGGCTCTGGATTCAGGATACACCTGACATCTGAATTAGAAGCTCGGCTCTATATAAGAGAAATCTTCCTTATTTGATTACTTTAATTAATATTAATATTAGTGTGGTATATATGACTTATGATGTTAATTCAACCACAAGGTTTCTAAAACATGTTTTAAGTAATAAGCCTTTTTCAGACTTCTATATGTGGAAGAGCTGTGTGCGAGGCATACTTTAATTTTGAAGCACCTTCCTGTTTCCTTTAAAACTAATATGATTTCTGGGTTAAACACTGCACAATAAAATAACCCAACTAACTGTAGTACCTGCTGCTAACTGGACTACTCTAACTCTAAGGCCAAATCTGTAAAATTTCAGTTAGCAAGATACTGATGGAAGTTAGCCATTGCTGCTTCCATCAGGAAGGCTCTATGCAGTCACTCAATAGAGCACTGCAAAAAATTTAAATCTAGATACGTCATTTTACCTTAAAATAAGTACATTTTCCATTGAATTAAGAGGGAAATTGGGACACTTTGCCAATGGAACGAGACAATTTACATTTGAAATAAGAAAAAAACAATTACTTTGTCTTATTTCAAGTACATATGATCTATTTATCTTATTTGTAGAGTAAAAATACTCATGACATTGGCAAATCATCTTATTTACCTGCTGAAATTAAGGATAAATAAACCTAATTTAAGAGATATTTACTTATTTCTGAATAGTTTTTGCAGTGAGAGAAACTACAGTGGCAATTGTGTTCCAAGGCTGACCCTTTTTACTTTTTTCAGTTGCACGTGGTGGAAAAATAAGGGACAGAAAAAGGAGAGGCAGAAATATAATGGCTTAAGAGAAATATGTCAGCTGAAAAAATACTTGTATCAAAAAATATAGGATTTACTAAAATTAAAATCAAAATAAAACAATTGGAATATAATATAAAGGTTGGAAAAAATGTTTTAAATATATTTGGGTGGACAAAAATAAGAAAGGAAAAAAAAATACATTAGGGGAAAAAAATAAATACATTTTCTAGAAATTGAAAAATAAAGAATTCCAGTAAAATAACTTTCTAAATATATAAACCTTTAAGAAGATAAATAAAATATTTACAAGAATAAAATTGTACATCTATAGTTACAACACATCTATAGTTTTTAGCAGTTTGTTGCATTTAATGGCTCACTAATTTAGGTTTAGTTTAGTTTTTAAGCCATTATACCAACAGCAAATTATACTTATAAGTTATTTTATATGTATTTGTTATTATGGCAGGATTGGTCCTCCATACAAGAGACTATCCAAACACCATTGGGACAGATGATTGTTCTAAGTAACCTAATTTTATCATAAGAAAACATTTTTCCTATTTTTGTGTAGGGATGCTCGATATTGCCTTTTTTGCCGATATTCGATATGCCGATATTCCAAATGCTGAATTTTCGATTCCGATATAAGCCGATGCCAATATAAACTAATTTCACATCATGCCAGTCACAAAATTTAAGCATAACCTACATTTACTGTGATGCCCCACTACACACTGTATATTCTACCAATAATTACCATATGGAGGATAAAAACAGCATTTCAATTTCAGGAAAATGCAAAATTTGACATTTATTTTCAACACTGTCTTAAACAACATTTTGGAATATGCTCTTCCTAAGATTAACCTGACATTGAATATTCAAACAAGAAATACATTTCTTCACAAATAGGAAAAAAGTGTACCTCACCAGTACACCTGTATTGCACAGAATTAAATGTAAACATAAATGATGTCCAGTTGAAGGACTGTTGAAGGACGAACTCTTGGTTCCCCCACGCATGACAAGGACCTTACATTTGTTGCAAATCGCAAACTTCAAGTCATTTAAAACTTTTAAAAAAGTTCCACACCGCAGACATTTTTCGTTAATGACGTCATCAGGGAGCGTCACGTGTTGGCAAGAGCGCTCGCTTCAACATATTTCGCAAAATCTAGGCATTATATTATCGGCTTTTAATTATCGGAGGAAAACCAGATAAGGATATGGACAGATATCACATAATTATGCTAATATCGGCCAATAATATCGGCCGGTCGATATTATCGGATATCTCTAATCAAAACTTTGGCAGATTTCATAACTAATCAGTGTAACGTCATCTCTATGATGTGGAGAAACACTAGCTAATGGCAGTTCTTTAAATTGTACTGAAACCCTGATACTAATGTCATATGCCTCAACAAAATGTCTCACAAAATTCCTTAACGAAAATTTAAAAAGAAAAAAGATTGATCCAAAAAGAGCTTAGAAATAGTTGATCATCTGGGAGAAAGTAGCCTCATCAGAAGAGATCAACACTGAGTTGTATGGATGTCACTGATGCTTGAAGGATGAATTACAACCCATGTGAACCAAAAAAATACTTCATAGCAGATAATTGTGTGCGTCTGTTATTTAGAATGGAACTGGCAGCTTTTAGTTTAGTAAAAAAAAAAAAAAAAAGGAAAAGTTAATTAGAAAAGTAAATGGAGATATCAAGGCTGAGGCTGAAAGAAGGGCGGATTTTTAGTAAATAAATTATTCCAATCAACCAGCCATGTCTTGGAACAAAATATAGCTGCTATAACAGCTTAGAGATAATATGTCTTTAATTGGTGATATATAAACTGATTTGATTTTTATATGTCTACTGCGCATGTTTTGACTCTTCTATGAAGAGATGCTACCAAATGACATTTAATTGTAACCTGTCCAATGACCATAAAGCAGCTTTTTATTGTTCTTTCTCTTCTCTCTATCAAATTTGAGAGAAAAAAGATACATTTTTCTTGGTTTATCTTTTGGATTTTTGAATACCTTAGGGATCACGTAATCCTTAAAAGAGACGTCCTTAAGAGCGTAGTGAGGGATGCTGAAGGGGACGAGGTCCAGAAAACGCTGAGCCTCATGAATGACGGCATCAGTGAACGGGAGAGATTGCCTGTCCTCCATGCTGGGACACTGATCTCTGCCAATCACAGTGTTAATCTCCTCTTGCATTTTTTCTGGAAACAATGAAGCAAAATTGATGTCTGCTAAACTTTAAAGCTATCAAAGGCAGCTCAAATAACAAACTGTCTACACACCCTGTATGTCCTTGTGTTTTATCAACACACTAAGAGCATATCTGATGGTGGAGCTGGTGGTCTCTGTTCCTGCTGCAAACAAATTCAGCACCGTAGATACCAGGTTTTCATAGTGGAACTCAGTAGATGGATTATCATTCTCCTGAATAAGAAAAATGGAGATTTCAAAGAATAAATGTATTTTAACATGGATTATTTGTTTTTGATTTGGGGATTTGTTGTATGTGAGGTGTAGTCATAGAACAAAAACATAAAAATGAAATAAGTCTGTAATTAAATCACGTAAAACCCTGGGAAAGAACAAAAATTAAAGCCTTCCAATTATTATTCAGCCACAAAATTAAAAAACGAATTGTTAGCGATCATATTAGGAAAATTTGAATGAACTGTATCTAAATTCGTACCACCTTTTCTATTTCCTATTTGTTTTTACCAGTTTTAAACATCTTGTATATCTTATATGTTTTCTCTGTTAATAAAGAATGGCATGTTTATCACAGTAAATAAAAATATCAGGTCGCAGCTGAAGATTTGCTTAATTCTCCTTTGAGAATCTTTCCATAAATATTTTAAACTGAAATCTGCTGGTGATATTCTCAGTCATCCAGGTCATAGTAATTCCAAAAAAAGAAAATTAAAAACAATCCACTGGACTTTTTTTCCAAGTTTGAAAATATTTCGCTTCCCATCCAGGAAGCTTTTTCAATTCAAAATGTCAGAAATGGTGTTGAGTTCGAGGTTTGAGTTTAAATTTATATTGTATAAAACCTCGAAGTCAACGCTTTTCCTGACATCCTGGATCGGAAGCAATATATCTTAAAACTTGGAAACAACGTCCAGTGGATTATTTTTATTTTCTTTTTTTGGAATAAAACTGAAATTGCAAGCTCTGCTGATTGTAAAAAAATAATTGTTCAGATTTCACTTTTCATACTAACTACTCTTTTGATGTGATGAAGTAAAAGCAAAAAGATTCTACTCATATTCAGTTAAAGCAGAAAACAATCGATGCACCAACCTGATGAGCTCTGATAAGGAAGCAGTCAATAAAGTCTCTCGGTGAGCTGGGATGCAGCGTCTCTTTGTGCTCCCGGATTTTGATCTGGATGAAATCTCTGATCTGATCAATCCCAGCGAAGACAGTCTGATGCGGGCCAGGAAGTTTGTGCATGACCGAAGGGAAGATGTTGTACAGCTGTGGACGAAAAGCAACATAGTTGTTTCCCAGAACATAATATGGAGAAATGGTAGTTTTGAAACCAAGAACTTGTTGAAAAGGCAATGTTTTGAAGAAAATAATGACTCTTAGTTAAATAAGTAGTCATTTTAATGCATAGATCTGCATATCTTAGACTTCTTAAAACGTTTTCTTATTTTTATTCCCAGAATCCACCTTTTATCTTCCTAGCATCATTTATGGACAATCTGATTAAACTAAAATTAAGCTCAATTGTTCAGTAGAATGTAACAATGATTCTTATTTTTAAGATAAAATCCCAGTTTGCAGAGATCTTAAAAAGGGCCTAGAGACTTTTTATTGTGTTAGGAACCCTGGATTACACTTTATCCTGCCCCACCTCAACCAGCCAGGAAGTGTTTACAACATTCCATAATATGCTCTAGCTTTTTCTTAGAGTTGGTAGTTCTGCTATCAAAATTAAAAAAAAAAAAGAATATGAATGTTTCTGGAAGAACTGAAATATAAAGCCTCTTTCCCAATGAAAACTGCAGGTAAACCCAGGTTTTTTTGCACATGGGTCGAACCGCTAAAAATCTGCTTTTGGCTCCCTTCCCATTGCCAAAAAAAGCTGGGTCTAATCCTTTGCTTGCAAGCTTCATGCCCTCTTTCCCCCCACAGCATGTCTGGTGAAACTATCCCGCTGGGTTAAAGTTGATGATATTACCAGTGTGACAAAACTCAGGAAAGTAAACAATATAGAGCAACATGGAAGGAAGACGGGGAAAAGGGTGTAGTAATTTCTATTTACTACACCCTTTGCCCCATCCAAATCCCTCTCACCAGCGCTACACCATGTTCATTGAATGTAAACAGAGTTTTTTTGGCTTGTTAGATTAGATATGACTGGCGTTATGTACTCAATAGTATCGCATAAATTAGCAGGTCACCCCGGCTCTGGTGTTCCCACAGTATACCGATCAAAGCTGAGGAGATTTTAACGCAGGTAACTTCCCGGGTCCTTTAACCTGGGTAGACACGCATCAATGAGCATTTCCCACTGCCACTAAAGGCAGATTGTCTCTGGGTTTACCGGGATTTCCAGCCAGTGGGAAAGTGGTATTACTCCTGGTTTTAGTTAATTCCTTGGCGCTGCAGAAAAGAGAAGTGTTCCTGGTCAGTTAGATCTGATGACTGGGATTGGGAAATCCTGATGAAAATGTACTGGCCATTGAAATGCAATTAAAAAGGGGTTTAACAAATTGAAAGGCAAACTTGTGATAACAAGTTTAACTTTGTAATACTTAGATTTTTCTGATCTACATCTTTGTTGTTCAATTGGACTGTAGAATACTTTACTTATAAAATGATATGTCAAGACTTTTGAAAGAGGTGTGCATAATTTTGAGAACTAAAAGAACAGGTTACAAAAAACTTCAAGGAATACCTCAGACTTACCATACCCAAAGGGCTGCTGTTAAACCTGATTAACTTAGATATAGAACTGAGAAGGTTCTGAAACTGCTGGTCTTCATAACTGAAGCGCTGGCCAAACACCAGGCAGCAGATTACGTTTGATACTGTGCGGCTCAGAAGGATCGTGGGGTCAAAAGGTTCACCTGGAGGTAAAAACAGAAAGAAACCCAACAGACTTTCTTTAATTTCAAGTAAGCCAATAAGTAAGATGTGATAAATTTTGGATTGTTCAAGAAGTTAAAACCAGTTTAAAAGAAGTGAATGTCAAACTGTTTCTCAACTGAAAACTCAGTTTGTTGAAAAAAAGAGAAAAACCTTTTAACAGCAACAGGTGATTAAAAATCCTGAAACAGTCAGGATTGGAATAAATCTTTGTACTTTTTGTGTCTATGCTCTGTCTTCTTAAAATCACCAATGGGTCATGGCAAAAGGTTGTTTAAACTAAGACGGGTTCTGCTGAAAGTTTCTTCTTAGATTTCCTTTTCCCCTCTTTACATCATTGCTCAGTATCAGGGAATGCTGTAAGTCAAAGTATCAATGCTAGATGTTTTTTTTATAAGCAAAGTACTTCTCTATATATTTACCATAACTAGACTGTTACGTTGAAAATTGTAGGTTTATGATAGAAAAGAGACTGAGTCCACAACAGAATAGGGTTCTTTTGCTCCTCCAAGAGGAGAGAGTCACGTTCAGCTACATCTGCTCTCTCTCTCTCTCTTCAGCAGAAGCCTTTTATTATCAGATCATAACACATGGGTTGGGTTACAGAACAGTGTTCTTCAGACAAGGCAATTGATTGGGTCATAGGACAAAATGCTCCTCTTGATTGAATCTCAGCAGGATGCAACCGTGTGACTTTGCCTCATGACCTAATGATTGAATCACAGGATAGCAGGATGCAGGTCACAAAAGTCTACGACCCTCTTGATTGATTCAGAGCACACAAATGTAGCATAATGTTATAATTATAACTCTAACATAGACCATAACTATGACCGGAGGTGCATGATTAGACAAGGAAGTACTATAGTAAAGCGATTCAGCCATACCTAGAGGAGGTGCAAAAATGGTGGGGTAACATAATTAATTACGCAGATAAAAAAAATATATAATGCTGCCTAATTGCTTCTCCATTACTAAACTGGTACATTATATTGTTTAGGTGTGAAACACCATATTGGACCATGCAAAACACAGATTTGCCTTCATAAAGCCTCAGAAGGGCAACATTTGTGAACAAAAATTAAACCTTTACATTAAATAGGGGAGTGGTGGCCTGGTGATTAGGGCATAAAGTTTGGAATCCTGAGGTTCTGAGTCCAAGCCCCACTCCCACAGACTGCCACTCTGGGTCTCTGAGCAAGACCCTCAACCCCACACTGCTCCCCGGGCGCCCCACGATGGCAGCCCACTGGGGGATGGGTTAAATGCAGAGGTAACATGTCTCCAAAGTGAGATCAATAATCTTCAATTATTATTATTAAATTATGCATTGTTTTTATAATGTTGTTTTTTTTGTTGGCATTTATATAAATATACTGGAGTGATAGCTTATAAGAGTATAAGTTTGATTGGTTTTTGGTATACGTCTAGTTTTAATTTATAGCCCCCCCTGGAGAAAACTCAAACAGCTGCAACTGGATCATATCTCTCCTATCCTGGCTTCTCTTCATTGGCTTCCTTTTAAATCCAGAAAAGAATTTAAAGTCCTCCTTCTCACATATAAAGCCTTAAATGGCCAAGCTTCATCTTACATCAGAGATCTGATTGTTCCTTATGTTCCTAACAGAGCACTTCACTCTTAATCTGCAGTTTAAGTAGTGGATCCTAGAATTTCTAAAAGAAGAATGGAAGGGAGAATCTTTCAGTTATCAGGCTCCTCTCCTGTGGAACCGTCTACCAGTTTTAGTCCATGAGGCAGACACCCTGTCTATGTGTCAGGGTAGGCTTAAAATGTTCCTTTTTGATAAAACAGCTTCGCATGTGGAAGCTCCTTTTGTATGCTTTTTTTCTATGTTTGCTTCTGTCTCCTTGAACCCCAGTCAGCCTCGGAAGATGGCTGCTCACACTGAGTCTGGTTCTGCTGGAGGTTTCCTTCTGTTAAAAGGGAGTTTTTCCTCTCTACTGTCACTACAAGCATGCTTAGTGTGAGGGATTGCCTTCAAGTCAATGGGTTTATGCAATCAGCTGGTTTTCCTTAGATAGAACACTTTGAACCAATCTGACTGTATGATCTGGTAAAATTGTCTCTGTAAAGTGCCTGAGGTGACATGTTTTGTGAATTGGTGCTATCTAGCTAAACTGAATATAATATAATTGAAGTGAATAAGAGGCATAGTTAGCAATCTGACATCCCAGAAGTATTTTTTCGTTTACTTTGGTATTCCAGCCTGGAAAAAATGTTCTGTTTTGGAACAGTCTTCTTCTTCTGTTGTTTAAAAATTGTTGTTCTGTTTCGGAACACTCTTCTTCTTCTGTTGTTTCAAAACTGTTGTTTTGTTTCGGAACAGTCTTCTTCTTGTGTTGTTTCAAAAAGGTTGTTCTGTTTTGGAACAGTCTTCTTCTTCTGTTGTTTAAAAATTGTTGTTCTGTTTCGGAACACTCTTCTTCTGTTGTTTCAAAACTGTTGTTTTGTTTCGGAACAGTCTTCTTCTTGTGTTGTTTCAAAAAGGTTATTCTGTTTTGGAACAGTCTTCTTGTTCTGTTGTTTAAAAATTGTTGTTCCGTTTCGTAACACTCTTCTTCTTCTGTTGTTTCAAAACTGTTGTTT